CAGTGACTGTGGTTCTAAGCCGCATCTCGCCTCATCTTGAGCCCTGCATTTTACAATCTGACATTTCCTTTCGACATTTAAGCAGATTAGTGTTACAACGTGACTTCGAATGTTAATCCGACACTGGGTGGATGCGAGAATCACTCCATTTAATCGAGATTTAGTACTCACTGACTACCACTGTTAATGCAATCGAGCTTACTTTATAAAATTAATTTATGTATTAATAATGCTATGACTACTTCTACGTGATTAAGCTGAAATAAATCGTTATTCTTTGCATGGATGCCACATATACTTATTAGACGCTTTAGACTTGAAGCTTTTGAGCTTAAAACAATGAGGATATCTGACATAATATAATTTATCAACAAGCGGAAACTCGACATTCATTATTTCCTGTGGTGTCTCGCATTTTCTTATATAATTCTTGATATATACTTGCCTATATGTATATACATTTTTAATATTGCCGTTATAACCTTAAATAGGTATTATTATATCATAGTTAAAAATCACTGGTATTAGATATGAAATAAATATCACGTACACCGTTAGCAACTGCACTGCAGTTACACCCACTGTTCCGCTCAGAATTTATGTCGAAACCGACATTCACTGGAAAGAACATTCGCAGCAAATAACCAGGGTGTTAAAACAACTAGCACAAACAATTGGAGCACTTAACAAACAGACATATCCGTATCAGATATAGCAAATCGAAACGGCAGGGCATTACTTTAGCGCTATCGATAAAGCTCAACGGTGAGCGAAATAGTTTTGCCATGCAGCGAACATAAATAATTGTCATAAAGTAGATAGCGCTGATGGATGAGCGACTGGCGCTAACGAGGAAACTGCCAACGACAAAAAGCGTACACAAAGAAATCTCGACCGGGCGCAATGTTTTTTTTTATGTTACTACATAACCTATTATTCAATAAGTTATGCCTATTATGTGCATAAACGAGTTCATAAGCAGATGATGCGATACATACAGTTTCGTTCCGCTACAGTTACTATTAGACTACGTAACATATAGTTTGGGTATACAACATTACAGTTTACGTATAGGGAAAGTGATAACGTTGATACTTAACGGAAAGAGTATTTGGATTGTTATGTCTATTGTTAATATCGTGCTAAAGAAGGTTGAATAACAAATGCTTTCCCTTATCACAACAAGCCGCGGATATCCTCGTTAGGCAATTAATCATTTCGAAAGATGTAGTAGCAATCAGTCAAACACATTAAATAGCAATATTATTTTAAATATAAATAATAAACTTCACTCAATAATAAATAACTCGCAAAATTAATCATATTTGGGTTTACAAGACATATTTTAGTGAGTTAAATAGAAATACACACTTGCTCACAGAAGTCGTATTTTAATTTTGTTTTAATCCATACTAATATTATAAATGTGAAAGTTTAGATGTTTGGATGTTTGTTATCTAATCACGCCAGAACGGCTAATCAGATCTGGCTGGAATTTGGCACAGAGATAGATTGTATTCTGGAATAGCACATAGGTATGAATGTACGGTTCCCGTGGGATAGGATCGTTTTTGTTTGTTTAGAGGCGATTCAAGCGATGCGAGGGTGAGCCGCTAGTAGTTGCATAATTTACCAAAAACAGCCCATCAATTTTCCAAGGGTACTTGGTCAAAAATATCAACATTATATTAGTTATTTTCATTTATCAACATATACATATATGTGTAATGTGTTTGTATCTCAATAAAAATCCAATGTACGTACTAATTTAGCTAACATAAGAGCTTTATCAAATGTTCATTTGAATATCGCTCAGGCTCATTTTGCAATTTTATTTTTATTTCTATTTACTTATATATTATGCACATATAAATATAACTAGTATATTCAATATAAATCCTTGTTCTTTAATTATTAGTACCTAATTTCATTATTTGAATGAAACCACTGTATGAATGTTAGTACCAAGTTGACCTAAATAATTGTAACAAAATATGCTTATTTATTTAAATAGAATGATGAAATGATTTTGGAGTGGTTGTCACAGCGCAATGGGCGGCTCTGGCGACTCAACTCGGGCGCTCACGAACACACGGTCAGTCGTGTGCGACATACGCGCAGGGGCAAGAGAAAGCGTGCTTAATCAGATAACTCAGATTGTCAACCGAACTTGGGCTCCTGAAATCGGGTCGAATGTCGATACACTCGATTAATTAATTGACGTTCCGAAAAGTTGGAAGTAACTGGTCCGAAAACGTAAAACTGTTGTGAAACTCGTACGTTTCTTGTCGTATATTCGACATACATATAATTATATATTTCTTATCATTTATTTAATTTCGTGATTAAATTTCCAAGTTAGGAGCTGACAGTGAAGGCAGTATCGTTTCAACCGCTGTACGGGATTAACAAACGGAAAATTTAAAGTATTTAAAAGTTTTGCAGAGATATACAAAGAGATAGCTGAGCCTTAAGCGAAAATAAAAAACACAGTATTAAAATTACATATTTAACCTATAAAATAAACTAGTAAACACAGTATAATTTTACTATCTGTGGTCCAATCCGAAAAAAGTATATACGTTTTATAATAATATTTTTATTTATTTTTAAATAATAATTTAATATTGTGACCAATCAGCAAATATTTTGTACTAAAAGAAAAACAATCGAGACTTATTGTATTTTAATTTGATGGAGACTTGTTTATACCGGGGCTTGTCTGTAATTGTTGCCTAATTCAGACATTTAAGATCGTTGATTACAGCAATGTATCTCTGTCGGGCGACAATAGCCACATTGTTCATTATCAATCGCAACTTTAAAATAGATACTAAATTACGTAAACCATTACCAGTCCGGCCCTAAATTAGTTGCTCAGTGTTATGAATCATTTATTCGTGGTTGATATTTAAATTATTTTATTTATGCGCCGCCTTGTTAGGTATTATATTATTATTAAAACAAATAAATGCTCAATGGTATCGTATATACGAAAATTCGTATATACGAACAAATAAATTAAAGAAATGGACATTGTGAATACTCGAGAATATTAAAGTACCTAGTAAATTACCATATACTGTTAGTTATATATGCATTAAGTTTTTCCAAAAAATACTTACGCCTCTTAGAAATTCTTGTAAAGCATTAAATGTTTATATTTATTAATATCGACGCGATCTGCTATCGCAGAGGTGGAATTCACCGTTACAATTTTATACTTGGAGTATCTATTAGTATGCGTGGTTCCGTTGAGTTTACGCGTTGCTCGATCTATAGAGAAAGCCCGTGTCCCCCTTATTGAAACGTAGAACTATTCGCCGGCACAAATTACTCATAAATTCATCCATTCATAGTAAAACATTGTGTTTATTACCCGTTGCTAACACTGTAAACATAGGTCCTTGCGATATTTAATTGCAGCGCGAGATCATAATCGATTTCTACGTAAGATTCCTTAAGTACATATGTACATACATGCATATATACCTTTCCAATATCCTGCTTATAAACGGTAAAAGTATATGATCAAAACCAGATATAAATGTATTAAAATAAAGATAAATATATTCGATTTAGGTATTCGAAATAAAAAAGTATTTAAAATAATGCATTGTACGTAAATGGTTTTGGTGTAGAAGAGCAGGGTGCGGCCGACCGTCATCGAACAACGTACCGATACATCAATCAGAGATGACGATCGAAGGTGCTTTCTCGTCGTTAGCCCTATATGGCCAGCCTGGCACCACGCCTGGCGTAAGCAATTTCTTTTTCACTTAATTTTCTAACCTGTCTATAGAAATCGCTCTAGCAGCATATTTCACCTAACATCTGAACGGAAACATTGCACAGAGTTCGTATCTTATTTTACTTTCGCAGTCTTTTCAATTAACAATATATTTTCAATCATGGAATTTTTATGTTGCCTACTTTTACATAATATAATCGTGAATGAGTAGGCGTGTAAAGAATAGGCGCGTGGAACAGCCGTAAACATATTATACTGTATAATAGTCATACGAAAATGCTTTATTAGACAAACACCTATGATAGGTATATCGCGTTTTTTATAAACATTGTTACGATTTGTACGCCAGATTTTTTGTAATAATATAATATGTACAAACTGCGTATTTAAAGTTAAAAATAATGTATTTTTTTTAATTTTCTTTTTTATTTAATTTACATTATTTAGTATTTATATTAAACATAAATATGAGTAAATAGTTAATAATACTTTCCACATATTGCAGTGTATGCAACATTTTAAAAAATAAGCAAATAAATGACTATTTTAAATAAAACTATCTTTTCGGATTATTTCGCGGATTTATTTTGATTTTTAGTTCCCGACGTTTCGAATGCTTTACAGCGTTCATGGTCACGGGATGTCTCGAAGGTATAGTTGTTACACACAGCCTACCCACAAATAACAAAATGAAAAATTGTACCAAGTACCTTACAATATTTTATAACTTATAATTTTAATTAGTTTTATAATTGAATATAGAATATTATTTATTTAATTTTTGCTGTTATCATTATAATTATTACAATTTTAAAAATATTAATTAGTAATCTATATTTAGTATTGCCATTATTATATTTATAACCATAAAGAAAAAATATAATATTAATATTATTTAGGCCACATAATTGTTCTATGTGCAATTTAAAGAGTTAAAATTAATTAAGAATAATAATTTTAATTTAGTTTGCTATTAAATAAAAAAGACAATGTACTAAACAACACTATTACTATATAATTTTACAAATGAAAAATGCAAAATATTAATCTGAAATGCTATCATTTTGATCCACACATAACAGACAGGTAGATGTAGTAAGTTACTTTTTAATATGTATTAATTGATACCTACGTTTATATTTATAATATGTAGTGATTGACATCTACGTTTATGTTTGTGTAAATTTATTAATGGCACAGTTGATATATCTTTCATAGAAATGAGTTCTAATTTCATTTATTTTTACAGAGTGTTGTCATGCTCATGTTCCGAGAAGAAAAATCACCGGAAGACGAAATAAAAGCATGGCAATTCTGGCACGGCAGACAACATTCTGTGAAGCAAAGAATATTAGATGCTGGTAAGTTAATTTTTTTGAACTGACATTTATTTAAGTAATTTGTAATAATATAATATTACTTTAAATATATAAGAAAACTATAGTTACTGTAATTATTGCTAAACGAGTGAGTTATAGCACAGTAGCTACGTTAACCCAAGTTATTTTACAAAACTATGGAAACTCGTGCTCGAGGCGACACAGAAACGGGCAGAAGTTGCGTGCGACGGCCTCGGCGGCGGGCGGCGGCGGTCGCTCGGCACGCAGGACCTAATTACCGTGCTGCGAGGCAGATAGCCGCGGAGACGTAACTGCGCACCGCTACCCACTATTATATGTCGTTAGGACATTTGCATAAATAACGCACAACGCGCACATCCTCCGCACCCTACGCCGACCTATCAATTCTCACGACTAAAAATAAAACCTGTGGCGCCGCACCATGTATTCATTTCTCCTACGAACTCAAAATGTCGACATATCATTTTATGTAATTAAAATTGAAAGAAACTTTTTCCTTTCCAAGTAGTGGCTAAGTAAAACGATATATAATAGAGATAGCCGACTTTATGGACTCCAGAAAAGAGTAACAGGAAATCATAAAAATTCGTGAGAAATCTTCGCTTTAGTAATGACGTCGAAGCACCTGTTGAAACTGTCGGTCGGCGTAAACTTTATATATATTTATAATGACCGTTTTAAGACGTCAGTAACATTGATTGCATGATATCTGCCGAGTTGTCTAAAATGAGGAGTCGAGATATAAGTAAAGGTACGATATAGACGCGCGCGGACATAATTACCGCGATGATATCTGGGAGCGTGTTCATTAGCATGTTAATTGCGCAGTGCCTCCCCTGCGCCCGCGCACCGCGTTTAGCTACGATGATAATATTTTCCGTTCAGTAATATAAAAGTATTTAACAATTTCTTACTTATTGGATAAAACTCAAATATTTATTTTTAAGTCTATGCGAAAATTGACCTAAATTCCAAGTATAACATATAGGTACTTTGATAAAACCTTGCGTAATAAACGAATTGTCGCTTATTAATCTTCTGACATGCTTATTGAAATAAACAGCGCTGATATATGACACTCAATACAATCTAACATTACTTAACTGAGACTCGTAGCATTTGTAATGAGTGACTCCGCGACCACTAACAGTGCCTATAAATTTAATCTCAAGGAAAATAAAAACATGGAAGCCATTAATTCGCGCGGCCAGGCCAAGTTTAATGTCAAGGTTTCTAGCTTATCTCGATGTTAGTCAAGTTTTATTTTTTACTTTGTCTTGTTATTATGGAGAATGAAATAATCTAAACTTTAAATATTTTGTTATTGTCCCTTTAGTTTTGAGTTATTTTTACAAAAACATAATATTGAAGAAAACAGAGGTTTAAATAGCATAGAAAAGTGTTCTAACGGTCCGGCTCATATGTTCTAACTCATAAAAATGAATGCAGAACAAATGCAACGAACTTGAAGTAGCGTCAAGGGCGATATCGGACACCTGTGCGCAGGCGTGTGAAAGCGCAGAGACTCGCAAGCCAAAGGCGTGGGGAAGGGGGAAAGGGGGAGAGGTCCTGGGCCGCAACGCACCGCGCTCCTACACAATACCTTCTCCGATTACGTACATGTCTTCTTGTATCGCGTGTCCACTGGTCGTTTCGGTGCAGCGCAGCTCCTTGGTTTACCCGCTTATTTTTTGTCAGTTTTTGTTACACCACGCTTCGGCGATTACTGATTAGGCCCTTAAATTACGCTATTTTGACCGAAAAACAACGAATGCGGCATCGTTTGGCTTCACTCCGCATCTTTACTGACACTTTAATAAACTAATAATTACCACTATTTAATATTAATCTTTATAGCCAATTTAATTGTTTGCAAGTCAGTAAAATGCTTTACTACAAAATATAATATAGAAATAAACGCCTATAAAATACTACATACTGATCAACATAATTATCAGATGCTATATTGCTTGAGATGTAATGTATTAACATTGTCATTTTAACACATAAATCTAAGGGGAAGCTGTTAAACAATATAGTGCGTGAGGGCGGGCGGCGGTCCTCCCGCAGGTCATAAACACGTCAGCGGGGCGCGCGCCCGCACAGATTGCACAGCGACCGATAGCGCGCCCACGCGACGTCCGCCGTACGCCAGCCGGGCTGCGCCACGCCACGATTACTCACTAACGACCACCGCCTGTCTGTTAATGCAGCCCTCGTACCCTAAATGCAATAAACAACTGTAACAAAATACAAATCAACGTTTTGACATGTTTAAGACTGTATGCTTATTTACCTGGACACCTGCAAAATCTAAGCGTAATTTATTAAACTTTATACGGCGAATGTTTTATGTTAATTTTATAACATAAAAAATGTAGTAAAAACATATTACCATGGCTTGACTCATTTCAATAAATGAGTATGCAAAGCGGTAGTAAAACTTAATATAGGGTTACGTCTTATTTTATTGGATAAACAATATGAGCGAAGTTATTTGACTACTGTTGAATATTCGCTAGATAGGAGCGATTGGAATTTAGGTCCGGGCATACTAATTGCATGCTAACAGAAATGGAAACGGCAATCGCCGATGAATCGATCCTATCACATGATTATTCACGCCCCGCAAATAAATATCCGTCGTCGATGACGTATTGTGCGTTGATATCTTAATCGAAATCTCCGCAACCATTAGTACACAATTACCTGAAGACAAGATTGATGAGAATTTGCGGTTTTGTTACAGACACGAAGAACAGCATTGGTTTGGCAGGCTGCATCGAAGAGGTAGCTCACAACGCCATAGCTGTCTACTGGAACCCACTCGAAAGCGCAGCTAAGGTATCGTATGTTAATTATTCAAATTACATTTGAGTATTGCTATCATATAACAGTATTTATGTTATGTGACAAATAATTCAATAAAATAAATAATTGAATGAAAAGTAAATCTCTATATATTAGTAGGGAGAACAAGTATAAAAAGAACATTATTTCTATCATTCCTGAGTATATAAGATTAATATGCCTAAATGCCTCTAGTTTAATAGATTTTTTGAAAAAAAAAACACCTTCTCTCATTTTATTCCATTCGATTTATAGCAATTAAATAGCGCAGTGTGTAGCTAAACGCAATGAAAAATAATAACTTACTAGTATAATATCGCTAATCTAAAAAAAGCATCTTCTAAAGACTTTTCAATCACTGTTAACTGTAAGAACTCCAACGTGCATAATAAGCTCTTCAATTGAACGTTTTATGCGTATCTTGACTTCGTCCGCTCAAAGTAGCCATTAGCGTTAAAATTCGAGTATAAAATGTAATCAGTATAATTCAATATATTATAGTATAGCTGTAAATAAAAATTATAGCTTTAAGGCGTGAAACGGAAATTGTATGTGTTCGTCGTGAGCCGTTTAAAATTCTAAAATTGGTTTTGGTTCTACTTGGGCACATTATTTAAGCGTGAATAATCGGTTATCGATACTAATAATTATTTACGATTGCTGAGAATAGCTGTAGCGGATGCGAGTAGTTTGCGACATATAATATGGGTACTGACAGTGATCGGTAGCGGCGTTGGCGGCGAGGAAAAACGCGAAGAGTCATTTGCATAGCGCGCGGTAATGAGTATGCGTCCCGTAGTTTGCCGCCTCCCTTCTCCTCCTGCTTCACTATTATACACTTATATCATAAGTTTAATACATTTCTTTAAAATCTGTATAACAATATAAAATATTTGTAGGTCAGTAAAAAATATGTACACCATGATCAAACCTATTTCTTAATCTGGTATTCGGATTTAGAAATTAACGATACATAGAGCATATTAATATAAAAATGTGTTTATTTTCAGATTAATATTGCAGTGCAGTGCTTGAGTACAGACTTCAGCAGTCAAAAAGGCGTTAAGGTTAGTACATAATATAATATTTTTGAACACTTGTATAAAATACTAGGGAGTAGCGACTCACCCTCGCTTCGCTCAGATCCGTCCTTAGGTAAGTTTTGACGCTTAGTATGGATGGATTTTTTTAATTTTTTTTCCGATGTTTTAATATTTTTTCTGCTATTCGGGGTGAAGACATATCCAACAAAACAAAGCTCATAAAAATCGGTCCAGCACCTCTCAAGTTATAAGCATTGTAACAAACCTGACTTTGTTTTATATGTATATAAGAAAACTAGCAACTCACCCCCGTTTCGCTCGGGTTCGTCCCTAGCTTGCTTCTCCATACAAACTTTCATCCCTTTTAAAGGATAGTTCCGGGATAAAAAGTATCCCATGTCCTTCCCATGGTCTCAAACTATCTTCTTATCAAATTTCATCTAAATCGATTCAGTAGATTCAGAGATTACCCATTACAATGTCACAAACTCACAAACTTTACCTCTTTATAATATTAGTATAGATATAACGATATTTACAAATATTATCAAGGAAAATATACCTAAAGGATAAATTATAAGATATTTTAATTGATTATTTTTTAGATATACAAAACTTACAATAATCACCATTGCTAGTTGCTAGATTTAATAAAATAAAAACTTTAAAACCTCCGAACAAAATTTCTTGCAAATTCTAGCATTAATCACGACGTTCCGATTTTTAAAAACAGTAACTTGTTTAAAAGTTAAAATTTAACCGTAGTCTATAAAAATAATTATATTTTTATTTAGCAAAATGTTAATTGAGTTTGCGGCACTGAAAGTATTTAAATTAAAGTTAGTATGTATACGTAGTCGCCATCAAGACTCGGGGTCGGTAACCGCGTTGTCGCCTGAGACTACCCGATAACCAGTGGGTGACGTAAGGGCGTGTGTCTCGTGGAAATTATTCAGTTTGAGACATCGTCTGTTACTGTTAGTTGCATCTAAACCCTGGACACATTTCCATGTTACTCTATGCTATCAACTGCTGAACCAATACATTGTGTCGCCGTCTTCGTATCGATGGCCTCCAATCCGTGCAATTAAGACGTTTTATAGCGATTCGATGCAGACACGTGCATATTTTTTCCTTATTCGTGATTTTTTGTAATTATCCCTTATATACGTTTATTAAATTTGTTTTTTGTTCCAACACAGCTGGCCATAGATTTCAAGCGTGTAATAGCTTTAGTAATTTGTTTACTTTAATATAGCCAATGATAGATATACTCAAACGTTTATACGTAAAAAATATACGTCTTCAGTTTTATATTTGATCAACACAGTAATCTAAGAATTAAAAAAAAAAATATTTTTTTATTACAGGGCTTACCACTTCACATTCAGATCGATACGTTTGAAGATCCACGAGATACACAAGTTTATCACAGAGGATATTGTCAAATTAAAGTTTTTTGTGACAAGGTAAGTTATTTTTTAAAAACTCAAAAAAATTGTACATTTTTATTATTTTGAGGTTTATTGATTATCAATAAATTACTACCTGGTATAAAAATTAAAATGAAATTTACGTTATTAAAGGGCGCAGAAAGAAAAACAAGAGACGAAGAAAGAAGGGCGGCGAAAAGAAAAATGTCAGCTACAAACAGGAAAAAATTAGATGAGATCTATCATCCTGTAACGGAGAGAAGTGAATTTTACTCTATGGCTGACTTAACGAAACCACCAGTTCTATTTAGCCCCGCTGAAGACATCGATAAATTAGCAGGAATGGACATACAGGGATTTTATGGACACGATGAAGCGGCTCTTGCCGAAGCTCATCTCAAGGGAGCTTCTCCTTTCTTATTACACGCTGCGAAACCTCAGGCGCCTGCGCTTAAGTTCCATAATCACTTTCCACCAGATGCTCCAGCGTGAGTATAGATAATATCCAATATTATTGTTTGTAAGTCAGTTTTTACATTAAAAACATTTTTTTACAAAAAAAAATTGTCGATAAACCCAACTTTTTTGGATTCGATTAACTGTCTGGGACTACGCTTGTACGTGTATTTTCCTTTCATCAAAACTACTACGGTATTTCCGATTTGCAAGCGCAAGGTGCATCTAGTTGCACTCGATCAATTGAAAATTTTACTAGCCGTGTAAATGATACGCGGCATATAGACAATCATAAAATGGAAATTAAATTTTAATAAATCGAAACAAAGAATGTATATTGGTAATAAGCACATATTTATATACAATAACAACGACAACTTTAAGAAAATATCTGACATAATAATGGAAAAATTAAAACGTTCTTTTACAGGTATCGATCTGATGTAGGCGGATTGTCGCCATACAGCGATAGAAAAGATTCCCTGGAGTTAGAAGGCGTGCTGGGCAAGCGCGCGCGCACCTCCACGCCGCCGCTCAGCGAGCGCGTCATGCTGTACGTGCGCCAGGACACGGACGACGTGTACACGCCGCTGCACGTCGTGCCGCCCACCACGCAGGGCCTCTTGCACGCCGTAAGTCCTACCACTCGCCGTTCGATAACATTTGACACGTCACTTTGACCGTTCGAGACAAAGTTACGTGTCAAGGAATTCGGTGAGCACTAGAATAACCTTGGTGATGTCGGCTAACCGCAGAACGCGAGCGAGCGAGACATACGTCTCGTTTACTCGCAATTCGATATTCGTTTATGGAAATATTCAATTGTAACTATGAAGTAACGTAAACGAAAGGAATCGAGACGCTTCGTCCGCGCCGCGGCCGCCGCCGCCGCCGGCGTCCGCGGCGCGCAGGACCGAGGTGGCGCTTCATAACCCCGTCTAATCAATCCACACGATCATCATAACTGCATGTTGTAATTAACCCCGCGCGCCCCCGCGCCCCGCGCCCCGCGCCCCCCGCGCCCCGCGCGACCCCGCACTCCTCGCGAGACTTACTTTTTTGTTCTTGTCAAACCACTAGACCGGTTACGAGCCATCGTTCGATCCGTTAGACGAGACGTCTCGGTTTAAAGACAGAAGGCCCATTGTAATTTGTTTTATTTTCTCCTCATTTTCAGATTGAGAATAAGTACAAAATTTCAAGTTCGGCAATTAATAATCTTTATCGAAAGAACAAGAAAGGGTAAGTGGTTTTCATTGGCCTCTAAAACTTCCGTAGGCACGTACCGGCCGCCTCGCGTTGACTATGTCGCCTCGCTTGTTCGGAGGACGCGCCACTAACTTCACTCGCTTGTAATGTAAAAGAAACCCTCCGAGGACCCTATGTTTGCTTACTATTAAATATCATCATCCGTTTCCCTGGCGTACCTAAAAACCCGTAATTTTTGCAGTGGCACTTGTAATAATCCTTACATTAATTAATTATATTACACCGATACAATATTAATCCTTTAATTAGATTTCTATTAATTGTATAACAAAACAATAATCATATTTAATTGAATATATTTTCCTAATACGTTTAAAATTTCGACTAATTAAAAACATGACATTTTAGGATTACGGCCAAAATTGACGACGAAATGCTGGCATATTATTGCAACGAGGACCTGTTCCTGCTAGAAGTGCGACCGGCGGGCTCTAGTGAAGATGAACCCCTCTACGATATTACTTTTGTCGAGCTATCTCTTGAACATTAGCTAGAATATCAATAATATCTTGCTACGTTCTATCTTTTAACCTGCGCGGAAGAAAACACAATTTAAATCCAGGATTTATTCAATCTCACAAAATTTGTAGAGTTTTAGTATTCACTAAAGTGTTGTTTTCTTCTGCGTCGGGCAATGTTCACCACTTACAGTGTAAGTCTATCTTATTCAGCTAGTTGTTCTAAGCATATTTTACTTTTGAAACTATTGTAGTGAACACAAAAATCCCGTGTCATAGCATTCCGTATTACACGCTCAATATTTATAAATAAGGTTGTCTATGAAGTGTCGATCTCAGATTGAAATTTACTATTAGTGAAAACATGAACGTACATTTATTTTTTTATAAAACGAATGTAACAAATCATGTTTTGTCGTTTTATAAACGACGATGGCGACAATATTGTATATATCTATCTCTTAGTGCCTTACGAAACATCCTGATGGTTGGTGATGGCTAAGCGGAGCGACTGACTTGTTTGCTAGCGGAAGGATCTGTCTCCTTTCGACAATGGTTGTTACGAATGTCTTACACTTTTTAAGCGAGCAATTTAAAAAAAAAAGATTTTTTAAAAGTAAATTGAAATGTGTGCCATTACTCGGTTATATATAATTTAGTTATCGTTTTAACAAATACCTTATAATCTTGCCATGATCATATAGTAAGAAATTCTTGTCACAAATGTACGTACTATTGTAGATTGATAGCGTCATAATGAGAGAAATAAAGTGCCTTTATCATAATAATTAATTTTTATATCTTAATGTAAGTGAGTTAAGTCATATTAAATGCCATCCAACTTGTTAAGTTTTATATGGATAAGTTTGCTTTATAAGCTCGCTCAATTCATACATCTAGTAAAGTTGATATTAGTTTTAAGATCAGTCACAGAATCGCTTCATTTTGTAAAAACCGTTTCATAACAAGCACATTCTATTAAATCTATTAAATAAACGGTTAACGTGAATCTTATTATAATTGGTTTGAATTCTTTTCTTGGTCAATTATGCTAAATGGCATTCGAAACCTAAAACGGAATTGATTAATAGTAATGATAAATAGAAGCAATAAACGTAAATTACAATTTTAAATGAGACAAAGTTTCTTACTTTGTATAATATACGATGCCTACATAATAGTCATTTTAATAGTCACAAAGTGGAATATCACAACAACATTTACATTATCATCAGGTAGAGAAGTTCGTTTTAACTATTTTAATTTTTATCCATTATATGTGTTGATATATTTTATGTTTTAACCATACTTCCCATGACAACTTAGAATATTTAACTGTTCAAACTTATCGTCAATATGTATGATTTTTAACTTTCGATCCGTTCCGGCTTTTTTAATTGTATAAATTGTTATGAGGTCGCTGATTTTATGTATGGTTTTGTAATTTGAAAATATTTTAGATATCTCCACCGATTATCTCAAAATTCAGAACCAGGTTCTGTTCCTTAAAAGGATTGGTTGTAGATAAAGTCGTCCAAGATAGATGTAACGTTAGTGCCTAGTGCGGACGGTTCGATTAACTGCCATATTATGACATAGTTTAGTTTACTTGGAGTTAGAATAAGATATTATAATATAAGTCATTTAAGTGTCACAATGTTGCAAATAAGACTCGTTTCTGTATTACAGTAAAACTTTTTTACGTATAATATATACATCTATTTACGTATTATATGTAATATATTGTTTTGTTAACTCAAATGAGAAGCGCGGCGACCACAACTCCTGCGCGTATTCGATATCTTCCATATTATAATGTTAATATTTTACTCACTTGTTGATATCTTTCCACTTTATTTTAAGAAATTTGGAATCTCTATAAATGTTAATAAGTTTAGAAAAATTCATTGCTCAAAGTCTGCATTTACCTTGGAGTGGGAGCGGACTCTAAGAACTTGTCTACATTGTACTTACTTATACAACTCGATGTAATGATATTTATTTATGTACGTATGGTTATAAATTTTGCAGCTTTAATGTTTACTCACATTGATGTTAGATCGTGATTCTGAATCTCGTCATAAGTCACAAACGTCAGTAGCAATATAATACGTAATTCAGTAGTAGTTAAATGGGCGCGGTTCCGGCGCGACGCGACGCCGGCGCGCGGCGTTCTTGTGCAATGCTTAAGTTTATCAGAGTAACTATAAAACGTGTGTATATTGGAATGGACGATGGTGTAAATCGCTTTAATAGAGAGGTAGGCGTTTGCGAATAAATAACATTAATAAACATCTCGGTACGAAAGTTGTTAATTCTGTTGTATTTGAAATAGATTGCTTCTTATCAATGAATTCTAAATACAGGTATAGTATTTACTGATGATAACTAAATTTACAGATTTCTAAATTTTTCTATTTATTTTCCCAAAAGCGTGAATTCTTCAGTTGATACATTGTACTTATGATCCGACGATCCGTAGTCGCTTACCTCTAGAGAGAGCGCAGAAGGCGCCGGCGCCCGCAGCCGAGCCGCCGCCTCGTGGATATAGTCACACTAGTTATTATATGCATCTCGAAAGTGGTAGCACATTTTCTTTATTGAATTTTAATCTACTTAAGTTTAAATTGAATAGATGTTACGTTATTCTCTTATATTATTTGTAAGTTGTCATAAGAATATTATTAATATAATTATTTTTATCAAAGTTTATAATCTAAATAAAAATGTTTTTCTTCAAAACATATGAGTGGCATTTTTATTCTGCATAGTAACTACTAAACCTTTCCCAGTTCCCATACTTTAATTAAAAATATAACCAACACCACTACTAGAACCCATTACCATCCAGAATCTATCGACGTTTTGCTTTTAACATGGTTTATGAATTTGTAGATTTCAATGTATTACAATAAACTATATTAATACACAAAAAATATAAACTGATGAGAGTTAACGTGATAATGATATCAGTTATTTGCATCGATTGGATAAATTATCTTTCTATTTGTTTTTTGTCACTTCCCTATATTCAATATAAAAAGTAGCTACGGTTCAAGTATGTATGTAGCCCTTTTTAACGTCATACTGTTAGGCACGGGCCTCCCTTAAACACGAGGGGAATCAGCCCACCACGCAGACCAAGTACGGGTTGGCGGAATTCACATGTCTTTCGAAAACTTTCCTTTCCTCACGATGTGTTCCTTCACCGTAAGATGTGATGTGGTAATCATGTTAGAAATGATCCGCATATGAAAATATCAGAGGTGCGAGACCCGGGATTTGAATCCGCTTCTATCAGCTTCGTAAGCGAGCGAGCTATCACTGTGCTGCCATTGCCTTTTTTTCAGTATCCTATAATAAAGAAGTATTTGCTATTGGTTTTATCCCCATCGATAGTTAAAAGTAATTTCCGTGACATACAAGGATGAGCGGGATAGTCAATATAGAAATAAGCTATATATTATAAATATAAGATATAGATATAAAAATGTTTTAAATAATAGTCCTTACAAGTTGACACAAAATCATTTTATTATTTTTTAATATTATCTATACATATTGCATTTGTACACAGAGAAGCCACAAAAGCATAAAGATGAAATACATAGATTCATAAGTAATTTATTCTATTTATTGTTGGCAAAGACTAATATATTTAAAGAGGTTTCAGAAATTTAAAAGAAATAGTGAAGTAAGGTAGACACGTAGGACGTAGACGTAGGTACGAGTATAGCAGCAACTATGAAGGTCAGTCGAATTGTATCTTTATTTATCACACTAAACAACTTTACATTATAACGTTGTGGTAAAATTCTAATAATAAAATAAATATATAACATTGATGTAAAATGTTGATATGATTAAATAATTAAGTAGTATATATATTGTTCAAACACATAATCATTCTAAAATTAGGAGAATCTCGAAATATAGGTAATATAATTCGTTGGCTCTCTATTACAAGGTTCTATGTTACAATTTTAGTACTTATTTAGTTATTAACGCTACAAGGTTCTATGTGTCATTAGCTGCAGTTTTGCAAAAACAAACCACTAGATAGCGGCACTATAACTGCAAAGTATTCAATTTTACATAGTTCTATGTTGTTTTTTACGATAACAAAATAACGAAGTTCTATGTTAAAAATACTAAACTTTATTAAAATTAACATAGAACCTTGTAATAGTGAGCCGACGAATTGTGTTGACGTTAATTTGACTTGTATTGTGAAACGTCGCTCTGAGACATACCAACTTACAGATAATTCAGCGTATACAGGCACTTTAATTATCAAAAATTATGTCATCGCTTAAAAATACATAACTACTACCACATAAATCTTAGCGACAGATTTAGAGTAGCTAAATCTGTGATATTAACAAATAATTATTTTTTAAATTAATAGGTACATCGACTACAAAAACACTCAAACTATCTTTGGATTTTTTTTCTTAAAGTTTTATATAGAACCACCCTTAAGGTAATCATTTTAAATATATTAAAATTTAACTGAATAATACTAAACCTATAAAAAGTAATTAATAACATTAAGAAATAAAAAAATAATTACATAATTATATCACTTAGATCTCAATTGAGAACATAAAAAATCCCATTACGTAACTACACAAAAAAAAGGAAAAAAAAAACAATGTGAATTGAGTACAACTTCCTCCTTTTAAAGCTGGTCAAATATTAGTATACAAAGACTTGTTACTGCGTGGGATGTTTGTGTACGGAAACAATAGCAGGTTTTTCCGAAGACGTTTTAATATAGAAAAATCCATCGCCCACTTCTTTATATCATTTACAGTTTTTTTTTTGTGTTAGCGAATCTTCTTTATTTAATAATAAATATATTTAAAAGGTTTAATTCAGGATGCTTAGTTCGTTAATTTCTTTTTATTTCCATAACAATTTTTTTGTAGTTATTTCTAGAAACTTACATCTGTAGTTATCTACTTACAAAGAAGTAAGAAAACTATATTAAAAACAACTAAATTATTAGATTTATTAAACTACTAACACACTTATTACATTTTAAATATTATTGCATATCTAAAGGTTTAATTTTGTTTAATATTTGTCATTTATTCATCGTCCAACTATTTCTATGCCATAGCATTACTTTTGCAATAACATTTAATTAATAATATTAACTAATCATACATATTATTTCAATTATAAAAATAAATATAAAAATGTTAATAAAAATAACCTCATCGTTACGAAACGCTTTTTTATATGTTATGAACTTGCCAGTATTAAAAATAAAGGTAGGATAAAAATAACGGGAAAGGACATTTGTATGTAGTTTCCACTTTATGTGATGCAATTTGATTGTTCATTATAAAATAATATTATAGTTCTAAAAGCAATTTTAAAGTAATAACAAAAATTTTATTGCATCATTTGTTATCAACTAATTAGATTTGCTCGCTGATCGCCAACTAAAATGATAATAATTAAATGTACAAAAATATGTATATATAAGTACACCTTAAACTGTTTCTTTTGCTTACTGCTGTGTTTGCGCTACAAATACTGATTATTTTTTTTTAACTTATTGTTTCTTTTAAGTGTGTTTTAATATCTGAATGATATATTTTTTAAATACACATACATATTATATGTTTTTTTTGTTAATTTGTTAAAGGTTCGTCATCTAGGTACATTTTTTCGTTTAAGTGTACGTTTTTGTGATTTGCCACTATTAAGTATAAGAAGTTATATTCGCATTTTTGGTAAGTAGTTTTAGGTTTAAGACAACATCTTTCGAACTTAATTTAAAAGAGTATTGAGTAAGTACTTTAAACAGAATAATTGAATTTGTTTTTTTGAATTGATGGCCATTGAACAAGTAAAAAGAAACCGACATTATTGAGAATATTATTACATAACAAGCATAAAACCTATTACATATTTATATTTGAATTTTGAACCGTTCACCGTCGGAACAGTTCGTGACTGATGGCTATTGTATGAGTGGGGAGCTCTGACTATCGCTGAAGTCGAGGGTGTAGTACATGTCGGTAGTGTCGAGAGCTGGCGGGTGGAAGGCGGCAGACGGCGCACGCTTGTCCTGCAGCCAGTGGTGTGGCGGACCCGGCTCCGTCACTCGGGACAAGCGAGACAAAATGCGTGAGTAAGTTTTGTTTACTCGGCAATGACACGCTGTCACCTGGAAATATATTATTTATAATATTATATTTATATTTTTCCAATGATCTAAAAAATACTACATATTTTCAATAAACGCAGTTTGTTTACTCTGTTATTTGTAAACCTGTGTGTTGTTAAACACTAGGCTATAAATAAAGTATAAACATACTCATAATCATCATTCATCGTCTATAATGTCAATTCTAATATCCAATTCCAAATTATAGATTACAACGTTTTTTTGAGTTCTTAATAGATTTTTATTAAAATATATATAGATATAAATAATAAGCTTGAGATATACGCGTAATATGTAAACTAGCATGCTCGTAAATACTACAAAAAATATGTATTTAATGTCTATATTCTGGATATTAATAATAATAATATCCTTTATTGTACACCAGAAGAGAGAAAAATAAAACAAAGAAAGATATTCTATTTACATAAGGTATGTTATCCATAATTTTATGCTTACCACAATACCGACGATAGCGATAGCTGCGCCTAGAGTACCGGCTGCGATGTACACGTTGTGCAGACGGTCGTGGTAGAGACCGAGCGGGAGACGCATCTCACGGACGGAACCGCCTCCGCGAGAATCTTCACTCATCTCACTTTCACTATCCACAACTGTTTCGAGTATGAAATCCTCTGAAAAGGTTGTGTGAATGATAAGAATATAATCTAATATGTTAATTTTGTTATATTTAGTAAATAGTTCATACGCCTTCTCTTTTATCTTATAAATAAAACTAATGATATAAAGAACGAGGTAAAATAAAGAATATGTAGCTTATGTTAGTTTTTACTTACAAATTGTAAATTTTTCATTTAATTATAGACTTTACAGTGTAGGGTCGTTATATGACACCCTATATAATAGTATTTCGTTAATTTTTTTGTATAAGTATGTTACTTCTATCAAAATATAACAGTTAAAAATCAAACATAAAGAAATAAGTTCACATACATTTAAATGTTATAACATTGGAACTTAATTTGTACAATATAGTAAAGATATAATATGCGTTGGTTTAAACTAATCATGTTTACTCTACCTGTGACATATTTATAGGTGGAAACTTTGCTAGTGTGTGGATGTTTTAGTTTGTAATTATTTTTAAGAATTATCTCACTGTATGTTTCCCAAAAATTAATAGATAAATGTGTCAATTATGATTATTGACTGAGCAATATTTGTATTGTTTTTGGCGTATGGTATCTATTTATTCTAGTAACGAGAATCGAGATCGCATTACTACTTTTTTTTAATATTGTATCATCTTAAAGCTCTGTTGTGACCTCTATCCTTGTCCTGCAAGGTGGTTACTTAGTGAACATAGCAATTCTATTCTTTCATTCAATTTCATTATACTCGTATAAACTAAACAAATACCTATAATATTTTTTAGGTGTGATTGCACATTACATATCTAGTTAATATCTTATGCAATTTTACATTACATTTTACATTATTTATATTACATGGTGCAAGATTTCATTATTACGGATATCAATAATCTATTTACAGAAGAAAATTATGAAAAAATTAACATAGGTAAACCTTCACAAAGTCTTCCAGTGTATCCCGGTCGACAAGAACAGTAATAAGAGTCCACACCGCTCCAACATGTACCACCATGAGCGCAAGGGTTGTTATCGCAAACCTACACAAATATAAACATACAGTTATTATAGCAAAAAAAGGTATAGTAAGGTAAAGTAATTTTTTTAGTATGTATTGCACGTATTATTAATTATCTATTATAGATATGTAAATATTCATAGACAGAAGGCGTATAGAAATTATCTTACGACAATTACATACGTGCAAATGAATTTATTGTATCATATTTTATGCATATTTTACACTATTAATCAACTAATTAATATCTAATATTTGATAATATTATCTATACGACTTGCAATAGTTACTGAAAATATTCTACCATGACATTCTCAGTACCGGCAGCCCTGAAGTGGAAAATTGTTGATATTAGAGCCGTACCCCAAAGACGCGCAAGACCCGCTCCAAGGGACTAATAGGGAGGCAGAAGAGTGGTAGAAATAGAGAGCGCTCTTTTTACTTGCACTGCACTATGACACTTCTTGCGCATTTAGTCACATTCGATCACGGCGGTCTATTTTACTGATCTAGTCTCAGTCCTGTGGGATGGCCATCCAACACGACCGGGAAAAGAGCAGGTGCAGGACCTCTGGGGCACGGGGGTCCTATATCCCTAAATGCTACTGAGAATTTCTTAGTAAAAAACTCAGGTATTTGAAGAAGGAGTATCAAACAAACATATTCTCATATTTTTGTTTAATTTTCGCATTAATAGTAGTAGTCCGAATTATTGGTAAAATTTGACTAGAAAAATGTTTTTTTTTATATGTAGGTATTAAAATTATTTTAATATTTGAATATTACAATTATAAAATTATTATAGCATGAGAAATTTTATTGTGAAATTTAAAAACAATATGAATGGAAAATTACTACGTACTGCTAAAGCATAATTAATAGTCGCTCGTTAAATCTTTCCCAGTCGTTTCGAACTTGAAATGCTCTCTTTAAAATTTTAACAACTTCAATTACGCGGTTTACATGTAGCAAGCTTTACCAAAAAATCACAAGGCACTGACCCATAAATTTATTTACTATTAGTTATTACCGTTCGTACTTTTTTATGTTATTTTTGGACAGCAATTTTTAATAGATATCGCAAATTGCACTCGTGCAATTTTATCAAACTTTCTTATAGGTACATATTATTTAATTGTGCCTTTTAATTTAAAACAATGAAAATTCTTAATCAACGAAGACATGTTAATAATAAATTACAATATCAAAGTAATCCGACTACGTAAAAATAAACTAAAAACTCTTTTTGTAAACCAACTACTACGAGAACTTACCGATGAAGCTGATATGTGACATTCGTCACCACCGTAGCCGTTGGGACACTCACAAGTGTAGGTATTGCCACGATCCACACAATAACGCGGTGTTTGACAGGGGTTCGACAAGCAGAGGTCCACCTGATAACCGATACTCATAACTAAATTTTTGATTTGTCAAATACAACTTTTACTTTTTACTAATATATATTGATTCATAACTATGTACTTATAAAGAACTAAATCATATAACAGCTTCGTTATAATAATTATTAAATAAGCTTACTTGTCCATCTAATTTTTTATTAACTAATAGGTACTTCGAAGACATATTTAAAAAAAAAGCTAATAGCTTTGAGCTTATCTGCATAATATATGTATAAATAGTTTAATAAAACTTAAAATATTATATAAGTTTATGACCTCTCAAAACTTAATAAGGCCATGAACAATTTACTACCGCCAATGTGTAATAAATAAGCTGATATTAAGAGCTAACCGTTCGTTAATGGTCGCTTCTGTAGCTCTGAGCTGTGGTCATCTCAATTTGAATGAAGTATTTATGGTTGCGATGTCTTAACTAATGTTCTAGCTATAAATGTTAGCTGTACATAAATATTTATTTATTCAAATAAACTATATTAATACCTAAAATCTTTTCATCATGTTCCCTAATAGTTGTGTATAATATATGTATACGTGATTAACATATTTTATGTATAATTTTTGTACTTCCTATTTTGAGATATGTTTTAGAGAATTTTAAAAACTAATTTAGAAAAATTAATTATACCTTATGTCATAACAACATTTAGTTATTTGTTTACGGTTACAAAACAACGTTCTACACTAAAAGTAGAGCATACTAAATAGTAACTAAAAGTAGCATCATTAAAATATATAAATATACCTATATTATAATGTATATATAGAATAAAACGCTTCTAATTAATTACCTTCGATTGGCAAGTGTTGCCAGTGTAGCCTCGGCCACATGCACATTCAAACCCACCGACACGGTCGGTACATGTGCCTCCGTTTACACATGGTGACGATTCGCACTCATTATACTCTAACTCGCATCGGTCCCCTGTGTAACCTATATTATAACATACATTTAAAATTACCACAATAAATTAAATATAATTAAGAATTGTCTGTATTCAGAGAGTGACACCATCGTCTGTTGTTCATTCCATGATACCATTTTCCCATTTAAAACAAATTTAATCAGGTTGAAACAAATATACCTTTAGTTATATATTCATAAAAATATATTGCGGGAACAAAACCCGCGACTAATATTTATTTCTTATATTTCATTGCCACCTGACTTTGTGGTTACTGTTTACGGATATCATTTTTTTAGATACTATAAAAATTCTGATACTTTATTTTGAGTTACAATATGTAAATATGTAGGTACTTAGTAAAAAGTAAGAAGAATTGAGCCACGCATCGAGTATATTCACCGTAGCATACAACAGACATAGCCCAAATGAAGCCCATGAGACTTGATATGCCAAAGCTCGGGTAGTATAGCTTAATACAGAAGCCTATAAAGGCGCCCTGTGTAAACACATTATAAGAGAATTGCAAAGCTAAAAGCGGAAATGGAAGACTGAAAGCTTGCTTATAGATGAGATCGTATGTATGTAGATTATAAATGTCATATGATACCTAAACTTATCTTATGGAGTTAAATATTTAATTTACTGTTCATGTGTTGACATAGTTTTTTTTAATTATATATAACACATTTTTTATGACTATTTATGATATTATCCGCTGTTAATATTGTTCCAAATACATATTATATTTATGTTCTTTCCTCATCCGTTTACATATAGAGACTAAAGATAGTACTCTAAATGTGTCCGTCAGTTTCTAAAATGTATAGGTGTATATGAGTATATATGACAAATGATACCCATATCTTTATTAGATATAGAGATAGAATCTCTATGAAAATTTTATTATAATGAAATAGTAGCCACTCTTGGTATTATAATGTTAGCTATTATGATTATTATTTAAAAACTAAATCAATATTGAGAGAGCCGAAAGGTTTTCGTTTGAAAAACCTTATCTTATTTTTAATCCTGAAAAAGAAAATGACACTCGAAAACGGAAAAGTATAAATAGGTATCTGTAGATAAATTTTCTGCAGCAATTAAAATAATTTTTGACTTAAAATCTATTCGTAATTTTGTGTACGAAAACATTTTTTTTTCAAATACCTATTTTATTTAAAATATTTTAATTAAAAAAAAATAATTGACACCGCGGGTAACAGGAAGTCAAGTTATAAAATTGAATATTGCACGCATTCTTTTCTTGTTTACTTCGCTCTTTCACTCGATTTCGACTCGATCAAAAAATAGAAGTTTAAAAAATGGCAGGGAGCCAATAGCAAAACTAGAACATAATACATCGATTAATCGGAAACCGCCGGAATATTGGGCCTTTGATGAAACGATGTCAATTTTCATTTTTTATATATTTTCTACAATTCTTACGACCATATATTTAAAAAAAGAATTGTATTAAAAACTATTATTCATTAAAATAATTTGTCTCGAAATGCCCGCACTTAAAGATTTGATTTTATCGTCTTATAATAACTAATAAGTAATATTTTTTTCATAATATACATGTGTAACTATCGATTCAATGTCGAAGCCAAACTTGACCTAAATTTAAGCAATATAAGCAAGTCTGGTAGTATTTCCAAATGGAACCAAAGAAACGTAGGTATGTACCAAAATGCTTTTACCAATTCTCCTTCGAGGACTGTTTGCCCGCATCTTAAAATTTCTTTGGTAAGAAAAACAACTCTCTTGATTTATTCACCCGAATTAATTTGGCAACGATAAAATCCTTCAAATGTAAGAAGATACAGTTAAAACTGTAGATATTATGTAGTATTTAAATGTTTTGTGGAAGATGAAAACGACTATTCAAGTAAAATGAAGTAAAGTATAAATGAACTCGTGATTATACAACGTAATTTTCTTTTCAATTCTTGTATCCCTAAAAGAATATGTTCATCATGAAAAGAAAATATGGGAAATTTACGTCTTTATCAAAAAATATACTGTTAGTATATGTACTGTTATTTTGCTTGCATTTATTATATGAATTGTTTTACTTTACTAGGTAGTAATTAATGTTCTAAGTTTTTATTACAGATAAGTTAGTTCACTTTCAAACGACTTTTTAAGATTTTGTTTTAAAGAAAAACTTAAGTGGAAAGGTTCAATGGGCGATGTTCCAAAAGCATCTCAAATTAATCATCCATATAATTTTACTCTTGAGACCGTCGTAAGCAAGACTGTCTAACTATAATTGAGTAAGTTTAGAACGATTTATAGCTCAATCGTGCTGGCAGTGTTGGTTCCTTTCAGAGCTAGTTAATAAAATATCTTGTTCTAAACATAAATCATTTTGAACTGTGGTTTAAAAATAATATAAAACTATAATATGAGACAATACAATTTTTATATCAATTGTGCAGGCGAGATGTAATTAGACTGGTAATAGTAGTTCAAAGAAGAAAGGTACCTATCTATCTAATATTATACGAGTATAGTAATATTTCAACTTCTTTTGTTGTTTTTCAAGAGATCTAGTTAAGCACGCCTATATTATATTTTTGTTATATAATATGGAACATAATTTAAGTATAGGATGAAAGATGTCACAAAAAGGATTATTGCCGTGGGCGCCCAATATACTGATTGCATTTGAAATCCAAATGAGATTTTTACAGGGTCGTATGGAGAGATATAATATAATAATCCTCTTATATATCATTTTGTTTTGATTTTGCTAATAGACAATTTTAGGTAAATGTATTTACTGTTTTTGTTATAACTTAAACAAGAAAATATGCTGAAAAGTATTATTTACATTTATAATTAGATGTCCTTACCATTACCAGCTATACACAGATGTTTGCCTAGTAATTACAAAATATATTTGTATAAGAATCTTTTTACTAAGCAATAACGGTGACTGTCTGTTTGAATAGGTGAAGTATACTAAAAATATTCACAAAAAATATTTTTAACCTTTAATTCTGTTGTTATATCAAATGAATACGTTCAAAATATACATATTTTTATTAATTATAATTTTAAATAAAACTATCTTCTCGGATAATTTCTCGGATTTATTTTGATTTTTGGTTCCCGACGTTTCGATTGCTTTACAGCAATAATGGTCACTGGAAAGACTTTAGGCTAGAGTCCAGATGAGTATATTTAGAAAAATATATTTTAATCAATTTTACATTGATCAAAACCTATAGACAGCAGACGAAGACGCAATTATTGAAAAATATAAAAATTATCAAAGCTCGAATCCGCCTTTGCAGGAATACTCATGTACTTCATCTTCTCCACTGCGTGCTGTTCTACCCTTCTTCTCCTTTCTACCTTAGAGAGCGTTTTGAGTTTTTGAGTGATACCCATACTCTTTCATTTCGCTCTAGCGTAACATTATTGCTTAAAATTCCTCCTCGCTCCTCCTGTTTCCTTACTAACTCCTTCGCAGTAAAGGCTGCACATTTTTGGAATAACCTTCCAATAGACATCAGGCGTGCCAAAAGTTTAGATAATTTTATGTTACAGTTAAAATCATATTATTTGTCTCTATAATGTCTTATATAATGAACTTTTTATAATTTTTCATCTGATCTACATTTATGTATGTATGCATTGTATTTATGCAAATATGTATGTATGTATGTATGTCTTTAGGATATGCAATTGTGTGTAGTAAGTACACCGCCTACCATTTCATATAATTACTCCTACGCTATAAGGTTGCCTGGATGAGATCGCTTATAGCGATAAGGCCGCCTCCTGTGCATCATCTATTGTTTATATGTTCTTTTTGTATATTTCTCTGTGGTGTACAATAAAGTATCTATCTATCTCGAATAAAACTCACCTGGCTCGCAAAAGCAGCGATACTTCTGTCCATCTTCGTTATTAACATCTTCAACACAAATTCCTTTTACACAAGGTTTTGAATCGCACACACCCCCATTGGCTGGTATCTCGCAGTTAGATCCGGTCCATCCCTCAGCACACGCGCAATGAAAAGTTGTCGAACCATTCAGTGCCATACTCATACACGAACCACCGTTAACACAAGGCTCTGAATAGCAAGGATCTTTCTCACATTTTCTTCCTGTAAAGCCTGGGAATGTAAATACTTTGTTTAAGTAATAATACCATATATAAATAAATTTATTTTCATAATATAAATAAATTTATTTTCATAATATCAGTGATAGACAGTTTAAAGAGAGTTTGTTAAATTTCATGTTTAGTTAGCGCGTTTTTTCCTAACTAAACCTAACAACAGTGACAATCTTGGAAATCTATCGTTCACATAAACATTTTAATTCATCATTTTTCGTGAATAGTAATCCAATTCCGTGCGAAAAGGCAATGCCGATAAGTAAGCCGTGGCAGTTGTTAATTAATACCAGAATAATTAATTACTTAATTTAAAACAATTTAATTGAAAAAAAATATATGTATAAACATCACATCAACAACGAAGAAATATATTTAATTTTATAAAATATGTATACTTTCCTATCTAAATTATTTTATATATAAACAATAAAATTAATATCTCTAAACAAAAATTAATAAATATTTTTTGAATTCTATTCTCCCTTTTAAGGAAGCTGTTTACGTAACTTTTTGGAATTGGTGCGATTACGTAATACGCAACAACGTATTTCGCGTTTTCTTGATTGCGTAACATGGCGTTTAATTAATTGTGTTTAAATTGTATTCTAATGAGAAAATTATTTAAATTTATCGTCTGATAAGCCGAGAGGCAATATCTAATGTGTTTAAAATGTAGGTAATTTTTTATTCGAAAATACACGTAATAAAAACTCATTTAATTTGATTTATAAATAAAATAAGAACTTACAATTCAGTATCGTAGTTTAAAAGAAAATACATAAATACAAAAATTAAAAGTTAATAAATGTATGAAAATATTTATGTAAAAGCACATACATAAAAGTATATTCAAACATACAAAGTCTGCGTGAACGCGGCAATCCGCCAAAATTACCTACTTCCTGCTACACCAAATTGCTAATAACTATAAAATATAAATTGCTAATAAATAATTATAATATAGACATGAACTAAGCTGTATTAGCTTATGTTAATGATAATTATATAATAGTTTGTAAATAACCCTGGAATATAAGATTGACGACACGTTTGGCTCAGTTTGTAGTGACCCTACTTGCTGTGCCAGCGGTCGCGGGTTCGAGTCCCGCTGGGGGCATTCATTTGTCGTTTGTACTCCAATCACGGGTTCATATTTATAATATATATATATGTATTTCAAGTTATATATGTGTAGTGTATCAACTATCTGGTATCCATAAGTCATAACACAAGCCTAAACAACAACGTAGCTTACCATGTAACTAGATGGTTCTCAACATATTTATTTATTATTATTATTTATTAACATATCGATAATATTAAAACTTTTTTCAGTTAACTGTTTAAAGTAAAAACTAAATGATGTGGATGTGAATTCCATACCGTACGGACATAAGCAGTGATAGTTAGCCCCATTCAATGGTTGCGTGAGGTCGACGCATATGCCATTATTCAAACAGGGTGATGGATTGCACGCGTCTTTATCCTCACAATGTTGCCCGGCGTACCCGCGACAGCACTGGCACTCGTAACCTTCCTATGTGTTATACATATATTTTGAGATATATGAGTGTTATTTTGCTCAAATCATCTGAACGAATATGTAAAAATCTTTAATATATTTGTAGGAGCTTATTTTCGGAATGAAGGAATGGATCGGATATGTATAGAGAAATAAATTGCGGTAGGTTACTTTTTATTGTAACTTGAACAACGTAGGGTTAGAACGAGACATACAATAGAAATTTATTTAAAAGATAGAAAGGAATCGGTAGAATCCGTTATATTTTTTTTAATTAAGCTATTTAATTTTGTTTAACTAGATCTCCGATTCTGGCAACACATGAACAATGTGTTATTTTATTTTATAAGTGTACTTACCATTGACACATTTGTGAAGCACACGCCTTTTGCTGTGCAATCTTGAGACTCTCCACAGTTGTCCGATTTTACGGTTACTCTCAAGCGGACGCACTGCGACCCCCAGTTCTCAGAAACAACTGTAAATAAAAATGTTATTGCACTTCGGTGTCGGTTATTATACTGCAGTGTATTGCCAGAATTAAAGCGTTAAATAAATGTTATTTTTTACACATAAACAACTATGTAGTTTATTGTTAAAGGATTTGAACTTAAATACAAACGTTTATACATGTTTATTCTAGTTATAAAATCTCTTTAAAACAATTTAATATTTGACACATAAAATAATAAAAACTATTTGTAAGACACGCATATTTATGTAGAGTTTTAGTTTTATGTTTAGATAGAGGCTGCTATATAGGTATAACTGTCATATATCAGCCCTTCTTTGATATACCAACTATAATGTTCGAACACAATAAAAGCTGTTTCCGGCGAGAACTGATATAAACTGCTCATTCCTCACGCAATGCCATTTCAAAGTTTTTGTTATGTACAAGGACAGTGTAACGCAGTATCATATTCATTTTTATATTCGATCATTATTCTAGATTCTAGACTATTGTTGATTTTGTTAATTAATATAAATAAAGAAAATATACATATTATATTCAGTCTTATGATATTGTATAGACTAATCTTAGAAACTTAACAAAAGAGTAGAGTGGCTTGTTCAATGCAATTCGTAATAAAAACAGTAATAATAATTAAGTAATGTACAATCAACAAAGTCGATAACGCCATAAACACCTAAGAAAATAATGCAATATTGTGAACATATGAAGAGTAATTTGTATTAAAGGCTGACCTATTAGTAAGTTAACGCCTTCTGTAAGATCTTTATCGTAGAGTGTAAAAATTTTGGCCCCATTTTCATCAAGCGGGGTAATATCAAGTAACATGCCATCAGTGACATCACAATGCTCATGACCCTGGCGAGTTACTTGATATACTGCTGGTTGGAGTGCCGTATGGTGTGACCTGAAAATAGATCTTGTACAAGCAATTATCTAATGAGCCCTATGAACAATGTGCAACTGCCACGGGTCAGTGAGTTGGTAATCCCTTAGTAGATAATAATATGAAAATGTCGTAAACGGTTGACCCGTATAATGACATGGCTCTGAAATATTTGTTTCATGTAGTGTATTTATAAGAATAATGTGTTTTTCTTTATATAATAAAGATATGTACATATTTTATATATTTCATTTAAGATAGCTTTACACATAGAATACTTAAAAAATTAAATGGGACCAAACTGAAGTATACATTTTTAGACAAAACAAAAATTGTCTAAATCGGTTTAATAAATGACGGAGTTCTGAGGTAACAAACATAAAAAAATATAGCAGAATTGAGAACCTCCAGCTTCTTGAAGTCTACTTTACGTATAATATTATCTTACCTCTCAGTATGTGAAGATGTGGTAATGTTAGTAGTTTCATTAGCTTCGACGTGAACAAAGGTATCGAGTGAAGAGTCTGCGATGCGGACGATAAGAATATCTCCACTTTGAATGTCAGCAGATCCCTCCCATGACACGATGACTGGGGGGCATTCCCCCCCTGCTCCACCCTTAACACAGTCCTCCGACAACCGCAGAAGAAAATTGGACATATTAATTAAATTATTTTTTGAGTAACTATAGGTACTATTATCTCACTGAACCATATTATTATAAACGTGGAATTGTATTTATTATAGGTTTACCATGGGTTTGCCTTTTTTGCAACAATCGATCTTTTGTATTTAATAGGTTAAGGGACTTATCCAGACACAATCAATTGTCCATGTAGGATGTTACAAAGAGTTAGGTACTCAGCACAGAGTACATTGGTATATACTAGGAAGTAAAAAAAGTAAAATTATATAAAAGTACTTATTACAGTAAATATATAAAAAAAGGCAAAAAATCTAATGATGTTAACTCACTAACATCGGATTGCACTTAAAGTTATTTTTTAAAGTTCAATGCTCAACAGGTTAAAAGCAAATAGATATATCAACATGATTAGGAATGTACCTTTTAAAAAAAAAAAAACAAAAAAAAAATGACAAGTTTGTCTAATAAATAACGTATATATCATCGTAATTTGGGTACTACTAAAGTGGCTTTTGGCGTGCAAAAATTTAAAATCTACAAATAAACTTTGTAGAGAATTGTTTTAATAACATTATTTCGAGATAATTAGTATGCAATACATTCCTATTCATGCCTAGCATTATCTATAAAATCTTTCACAGTTTGGTGCGTATTTACCTTTAGTTGATGCTAAAATATTTATACATACAAATGTAAACGACGCATTAATTGTAGGCATAACTAAAATTCCACATTAATTATTACTGGATTAAACTTAGCTTATGCATAAATTCTCCTAATGAATGCTTTATGTAAAGTATATTATATACCAGTACATAACGGTACAGTTGTATGCATGATTCTATTTTAAGAGTTAAAATGAGAGTGTAGGTGGCTTGGTATTAAATTGTTTATAGAATGTCAAAGTTCAGTGGTAATTTTCTTTTGTGGTAAAATAACATTATCATATAATTTATTACTGTTCATATTGCACCATTATAACAAGTGACGAATTATTCTATGAATTCGCCTTGTTTTTGATGCTTTGACATATTTAAGTCAAATACGATATTTAAAGCTTGGCTCAGTTTGTAGTGACTCTACTTGCTGTGCCAGCGGTCGCGTGTTCGAGTCCCGCTGGGGGTATTCATTTGTGTGGCAAAGACTGAAGTTTGTACTCCAGTCATGGGTGTTTATATTTATAATATGTATGTATTTAAAAGTTATATACGTATGTGTAGTGTATCAACTATCTGGTATCTTTAACACAAGCCTCGTAGCTTACCATGGAACTAGATGGTGCTGTGTGTTAATGTCCCATAATATTTATATTTTTATTTAAAGTATGTAATGGAATATCTCTATTCCTTTGTATTGAAACTTAAAAAAAATAGATTAATTAGATAAAAATCTATCACATATTTGACCGGAAAAGCTGAACACATGTAACATTGTGAACATAAAAGTACGTAACTAGAATAAATAATGACAAAAGTTGCTATAAAATTTTGTCCAATCTTTAATCCTGAAAATACTACACTCAGTGTAACTGACTTAAACGTGGACCAGACATTTTCCTTTTATAAAAGTAATAAACATCGCTGAATTACTGAAGCAGAAAACCTTTTCTCCCTTTCTTTTGCGCTAGGACGATTTATGTTTTATGTATTTGACCTCGTTGTGCTGTGCCTTCACGATTAATGTTATAGTCGAGCATATAATATTTCTTTAAATAATTCTGTTGGTAACATCACTTCACCCACAAACGCTATACATTTTCACTCAGTGTACGCGAGAGTATAAAAGCTTGTTATGATGCAAAATAAAAAATATTCTCGACAACAAAAGATCATAGAAATTAAAACTCACTATATCTTTAACGGTGCATTACATCGCTATTTATGATTTTTTTTTTCAAATAAATAAAGCATAACATACTAACATATATTTTATTATAGGTCTACTATACTTTACTTCTCTCTTTTAATTATAAGTTTACTAAACATTGCCGTAAAAATCATTATTATCTTAGATGTAAAGTGCCATGCGTTCTTTTTGGAAAAGAATAGGTATTATACCAATAACATCTAAATGTACTGTATTAACATTTTTTGAATTTATTTTTGTGGTACTAAATCCACAGCTGTCCAGTATCTTAAACGTAATTGAAATAGAAATATTATATGTACAATCTACAGAGAATTATATGTTCGAGTATACTCGTATACACAGACTGTTAATTTTTTTAACAGACAATCAATTTTTTTTAAATAATATGTGAATTTGAAGAATTTTTGAAAAGGAGTAGTGCACAAATTTGACATACCTATAATGTTACGTTTTCACTTTAATAGATACAAATTACCTAAATATTATTTTATATACATAGGCACTAGCGATTCACCCTCGTAGATACGTGTAACGGTTAGTTAAAAGTATAGTAGGTAGTAGTATAGATTTTTTAGAGATGATGTATTTTCCCACAGTAAAAAGTATCCTATATGTTGATCAGGGTAACCAGCTATCATTATACCAAATTCTATCAAAACCTTTCCAGTGGTTTTCGCTTGATTCGTTCCCAGACAGACAGATAGTCAAAAATTCAAACAGACAGAAAAAGCTATAGATTCGGCCTCTGTATCGACAATAATAACTATTTCAATAAGATTTTCCAAAAAATGTTTAATGTATAGATTTAACACAGAATTGTAGGTATTAGGTATGAATAATATTTATAATTATTTGATTTATATATCGATTATATTTGAACCATTAAATCCATATATAAAATAATTAATAATAAATAATAATTTAAATAATTTAGACTATTAACAACAATTAATATGGAAAAATAATGCAATATTCAATACATAATAGAAACTTACCGTAACGGGCAAATGCAGTTCATGTGTTTCATTACCGCGCCACAAACGTGACTCTCTCGGAAGCACAGGCAGATCACAGTCTATAGCCCCTAGACGGTCTTGTAGCCGGGTTGAAGTATGTATGGTACTCCCGAGCGCACTAGATATAGTGTTTAACTTTTGCCGTCTTGCACTTTTCAGCAAGTCTTTTGTTTTCGAGTATACTTGAGTGGTTGTTCTGCGAGTCGTGGTCGTAGTCTCAGTACTGGCGTACCCTTTCGTTGTTTTTAAACTTTTCTTTGTAGTTTGAGTAGCACTGAGAGGCACTGTAGTCTGTAACGGTTTTATGCTAGACTTGGTTGAGTGTATAAACTCCGTTGTCGGCGTTGGCAAAGTAGACACCGTTTTAATTTCTTTTGTCACATTTTCGTTTATTTCGCAAAAACAGCCTCCAATAACAAAAATTAATAAAAACATTGGCACAAAGTGCATGTTATATATTTTACTTGAAAGCTTAAAGTACGTATTAGCCATTATTGCATTTTTGTATCTTTTGCGTCCTTGGTTTATTTGGCACTGGTTCAACAACGAAACGTGTTTCCTGCCAAAACAAAACATAAGTTCATATACTTTACGAGTATGCATATAATATATAGTAGTCTTTAATAGAGTTATAAACTTATAACAAATATGTATATTGTATAGATACTTATATAATATAAGGAGCTTTGTTAAACAAAAGGCTGAAATAGACTGTCGAAACGTATCTTAATGTTGACAAGCACTCTTATCAGTTTTTTAAAAGGTGACCTAAAACTTTTATCATCTGTACCATAAGAGCGCTTCTTGATAAAAACATCTATAATTGGAAAGCTTTAGGGTCCTCTTTATAAGTGGTGACCCTCTTCAAATAGAAGTCTTGCCTGTAAGCCAATGAAACTAATTTTCGATTCAAGTAAACCTATTTCCTAAAATAGACACAAAAAGATCAACGATGATCAATTGGGCGGAATGAATTCTCTACTAATACAAATATAAACATTTATTTGAAACGTTATTATTTAACCTTATTTTCAAATATATTATCTTAAAAAAAAATTATAGTTTTATCATAAATTATATCTCTATTATATAAGATTGAATTTATACTATCTATCATTTTTATAAAAAAATTAGCAAGACAAAAAAGGTCCTAAATCTTAAGGCTCTCTTTTGCTGTTTGTATATCTGTTACGGCATACTTGATTACTTAACTTGATTACTTTTAAGTAAAGAAAACATAGACCAAAATTACAGAACCTCACTTTAAAATAACATTATATTAATTCACATAAATTCAATAAATAATATAAGAAACACGAGATTCTGACTCTCCAATTTTTTAGCATGATAATGAGTTTATACTCGTTAACATGCTATAAAAATGGGGAAAATTATTAAATTATGGATTATACAAGAAATCTATGAAAACATTGCTTTTGCATTATTCTTTTTTTTTTGTATTATAGCCTTGAAATTATGAACGGCAATTACATTAAAACAAAGCTAAACAATAAAATGTAAAATTTTAATATGTTTTAAAATAACGACTATGTTTATTTTACTTTATGATTGTAATTATTTTGAAAGAAAATATTTGAAAAATAATATATTTTAAAAACTAACTTATATTATGAAAAAAAACAACGTAAACTTAATATTTCCTTACAGAAAGCGCAATATCGTTGACACTAATCTCACTCACTCGTGTTTGAGGCAATTTCGTTACTGTCACATAATAGTGTGCAACGGTAAGAAAATAACAATGAGATGATGTATAATTGTTATGGCAGGATGAAATCGCGACGCAGGGCGGGCGGCGTCGCAGTCCGCAGCCTCCGTGGCACTGAGGGCGGCCCGCCCGCGCCCGCCCGCGCCTGCCCGCGCGTCCTCACGCCCCCGCTACGCCTCTATCTTTACTTAATTCTACTCCATGCCCGTAATATCAACGATTTCTTTAACGTGACACAACTCAAGGCCATGCTATTACACTTGAGTTGTCCCAAAGTTGATTTCAAACTTTGTTTGTGACTTCTTCTACATCGTACAGATAATTTATTTAAATAATATTCTTTTTTAAATATATCACAATTCATTTCATCGTTTATTTGATAATAAGGTATAAATTGAATAGGCTCTACTCTTATATTTAACGGCATATATTATATATCATTACTTTCAGGATCCGTTTAATAGCACCCTGTCCCAGATTCATTGGACTTTGTTTTTTTATAATAAATAAGTTTTCTCCCTTTATATCATATCTTTTCACCCTAGTATAGATTGAATTTTAAACATTCTTAGTTTCAATTGTTATTACAAGATTAATCTGTCAAAATTGCAGCTGTTTAAGTCAAGCGATTTAAGCTTTCCGATAATGAATCAAACTTATGTATGTATAGATATATATTTAAGACTATAATGTCAATATTTTTCATAAAGTTTATATTTCTTTTATATGATATTATTATAAAATATATTTATTATTTATGTAACAATAGAGTTTAGGGATTTGTACGCGAAACATCAAAATGATGAGATTTTTTCGAGCTGATAGACATTTCCAAAAGACATTTCGACAATATCACATGCATACCTATTTATAAATGAAAAATCAACAGAATATATCCAATAAAAATATGTCTCAATACTATCCTTACTTACAATTAGACATATTTTTTTTCTATTGACAAATAAATAAATAAAAATATATGATCATTTAAAAAAAACAATAAATAGGTATTAAGTATTATAAGAAAGGGAACAATAGAATGAATACCATACATATAAAATAAAAATCTAAAAGATAAATTCTTCAAAACCTTTTTAATATGCATTATTTTAAAATTAATGTTGTTTATAGTAATGAAGTTCTTACGCTATAGAGAAAATTAACATATTGTTCATTTAAATAAGTGAAGCTGCCAGATACCACATAATTTCGCCTATTATATTGTCAAATGGTCAGACGTCCATTAGGTATGTGTATCACATCCGGACCCACACGAGCGATTTGCAGCGACGTTTTCATTAATGATGTTTGCGACAAATTGTAAAAGACAGAAGCTTTTTGTATTTAGTATCAAACAAAAGCGAGTGCAAACGAAAGATAAGTAATCAAAAAATGCATAAATCTGTAATAAAATAAATCAGCCACTGTGGAAAAATCTACCTGCCATGAGAATCGAACTTCCGACACGTTTCAGCCCTGTGAGTTTAACAAGATGACATTGACTATCGATAATTATGGAAGCTTAAAATGCATAAGAAAGTAAAACGTAATATGAAATGTTCAAAATATATACATACATATCCAAATATTTTTTCATTTTATAGCGACATCGATTAAAACTCAAACTATTAGATTTATACGCCACTTCCTTAGCATTAACTTCCATATATTGTAGTGCAGACTACTGTGGACTACAGACAAACCTACTAAGACAAATTCAAATTAGGATAATTGACCGAATTAAAATGGTACTGTTGTTTGTTAACATATAAGGTTTTATTAACATATAAAAATTAAAATAGCATACATGAAAATTAAAATGGGCCTGAAACGTGATGTATGGGTGCGGAACAATAAAGTAGAGTAAAAGTTCGTGACGTAATGTATCGCTTCTACGTTATGTAATTTGTTAAATGTAGGGCTGGGGAGGTGCGGCTCCGACGGATGTTGGCCAAATGCCAACTGACATCCAAACACCCTTATCATTTCATGGATCCAAAGCCAATATTCTCCTGCAAAAATTAAAGTTTCTGTTCACTTCACTCTCGTAGTGGCCCACATGTTGCTGGCGTCTTTCCAATATTATGAATACTCCTTACCTTCCAGACACATCGCTTTAATACGTGCCAGTGATGCAGTGAAAGCGTTCTGTATGTGATGTATTCAAGTACCTACATGAATTTTCTCATTTATACATATAATAAAATTATAACTAAGCCGAATCTGTACATTAAATATTTTTTGGAAAATCTTACTGAAATAAACATTATTATCGATACAGAGGCCGAATCTATAGTTTTTAGAATTTTTGTCTGTCTGCCTGTCTATCTGTCTGTTACCGCATCACAGAAACACCACTGGAGGGATTTTGATGAAATTTGGTATGGTGATAGCTGATTATCCGGGTCAACATATAGGTTATTTTTACCCTGGGAAAATATCTAATTTCTGAGAAAAAATACAAAAACTGCAATGTAAGGGTATACTAATATGTAAAACCTAAGAATTTGGTTTTTGGTAATCTGAACGCGGGCGGAGCCGCGGGCAATGCTACTGTATTTTAAATTAAAAAACATTTTATGTTTGTTTTAAATAATTGACGACAAGTGTTTATAAGTATTTTGGAATAAATTATTTTAACAGCAAATATGTGGATGTAATCCTTTAGAATTACCTACAGCAATACATTTTTAGATTTATGGAAGAATATTTTTAAATCTTTTGATCTAAAATCTTTTTATAAGATATAAGAAATAACTTATAAGAATCGCGCATCTATATTTGTAAATAAATGTATGGAGGGAACGTCTCCTTTATACGACAAATATAGGCATTGTACCTACCTATACAAGTGCATTTCACTCCCTGTTGGAAGCCACACATTAAGAGATACTTATTTAATACGGTCAGCCTTCATTTCATAACCGAGTATCTACTAGAGATCTGGTTTTTGAAATGCAAATACTTTATATTTTAAAAGCTCTCTCTATGTCCAATCTAAAAGACCTACAACTAAATCGATTCGTGTTTTTATAAAAAGAAGTATAATGATTAAAATTAAAAATGAATATTTAACTACTTAAGCCAAATCTGTACTTTAAATATTTTTTGGAAAATCTTATTGAAATAGACATTATTATCGATACAGAGGCCGAATCTATAGTTTTTAGAATTATTGTCTGCCTGTCTGTCTGTGACCGCACCACGGAAAAACCACTGGAGGGATTTTGATGAAATTTGGTATATCATTATATGGTTATCCGGGTCAACATACTTTTAACTTATAACAGGAAAATATCTCATCTCTAAAAATCTATACTAAACGTTAAAACGTAAGTAGAGAAGTACCCGAGTAGAGCGAGGTTGAGTCGCTAGTTTATAAAATTAGTATAGATGAATGATATAAATAAGAAGTATTGAGTAAAACACAACTGTTCGTCTACTATTATCATATTTAAATGAAGCAAATATATGTATATTTACATTGAGAAACAATTTATCTACTAATTGCACGAAAAACAATCCTGCAGAATAAAAATCACATTAATAACAACTGCTTTACCCCGTAGAAGTATGCTATACGACATTATACTTTAAATATGGCTTAGATGTATATCCTCCTGTCAATTTTCAGTTAGAGCGGCCAACCTCCTCATATAAGCGGGAAATATCATAGTAACACAAGTGTGTGCACCAAACACACGAGCATGTGAACCACGCAACACAATCCTATAGTTTCTAGTACATACTTCTACTTATCCACTACAATATCTTAACAAAAATATATAATATATCTTAGACTCAAAACTAAGACCTTTCGTCATCAGACTAAAGCAGCCGTATAAATTTTGTCCCAGACGAGGGTCGGCGAACTTTAAGCCAGGTACAATGAAAATATCGGTTTCATCGAAAAGCCAGAAATGTAATTGCTGCATTAATTAACTATCTACCTATAAAGATAGATAGTTAAGTAGGTATAATTATTTTTAAGTAATTACTATGAAGTCAGCGTACCTTTTTGTTAAATAAATGCCACTATAATGTTACCTTAATTGAAGGACCTGTCTGGTATGAGGGAGCTTAATTGGACTGAGTTGAGTCGAATTGTGAATCGGATCCGGCATGTAAGGAAATGATTGCTAGATAAGTATAGAACTATTTATAAAAAATATGAAAAAACGATTTGCGAAAATATCGCGTAACATACCTCATAAAAAAACAGACGAATTGGATTTAAAGATATTAATGGCCGATTTCACCAACGTTACCTAAGTTTAAGGGATCCCCTAAGCATGGTTAGGGGGCTGTTAGGGGACAATTCTGTCTCACCGACAGTTAGGAGTCACCTAAATGTTAAAATGCCACCTAAATATAGTAAAAATACGGGCTCTGACGATGGTAAAACGAAATTTAATTTAAAGGGGAACTTTTAAGCTAGGGATCCCTTACGTAGGTGGTAGCTTATGGGATGTTGGTGAAAACGGGCATAAGTCGATCAAAAATTTGGTATTGGCTAGCATAATTCTCATATCATCTGGTAGTCCAGAACCGTTTATATCTATTGTCTGTTGTTTATATCGTCTATCGCGTCGTAATCGGTCGCTATGACGATTAGCAAGTTAGTGTGCACGGAAAAAGCCGTGAAAGAAGCTACGGTGTTGGAGTGCCTTAAAAATACCTCCTTGCCTTATAATATAACTCCTTATTGTATATCCATTCATCCTAATGAAATGCCCTAGTACAAGAACTTTTATAAATTCTTAAGGTTTTCTTTTTAACTAGCGACTCACCCTCGCTTCACTCGGGTTCGTCCCTAGGTACGTTTTAACGGTTATTATGGAATAGACTATAAGTTTAATATGATGTATAGCCTATAGCCTTCCTCAATAAACGGACTATCTAAAGCAAAAAGAATTTTACAAATCCGATTAATAGTTCCTGAGATTAGCGCATTCAAACAAACAAACTCTACCTCTTTATAATATTAGTATAGATATGCAGAACTTCGTACAGTTTGTGCGATTTTGTAAGACATAGTAAACTCATAAAACCGACTCGAGCGTCTGATAGTTTCACTTATCGCGTATGTACTCGTCTATGTACAGATTAGTCCTAGACGGTGCCATTCGTGTACCAATACTTTCGCAAATTAATTTATACTCAAAAGAAATCTTTAAAGATATTTTCAACATTTTATTCATTACCTTCGAAGGTATCATACAATATTTTTATTTTGCATTTTGTGCAAAGCCAATAATTAGCTAGCATAAACTATACTTTTTACAAACTTTGTTAATTTTATTTTCCGTAATTTAGCCACGCTATTTCACCCTCTTACCAATCCCTACGTTTATAGCAGCAACGCTTATAACGCTTATAAGTTATGAATAAACATCATTATTGTACAATCAAAACAAAGATTTGTCTGTTTATAATAAGTTACTATTATTTTCTATTCCGAATTTAAATTTTAATTTAACTGGACTAATAATACTGCCATATCTAAACACTACACGGGTTTTTTCAGACAATTTATAAAACACTCGAGGCCTCACTTTCTCAGCCTCTCTCTCCCGAATCCCTCTCCGGATATGAAAAACGTTAATTTTGTAATAAAAAAAAGAAAATATTCGTGATAAAATCTACCCTATCTTTGAAGTTGGAACAAATCACACATTTAAAAAAAAAATACATACGTTAAGATCCGATAAGTAGTTTCAAAGTTCGTATTTTCGTAGTTCGTAAGTAGTTCTGAACATCGTGACACGGGAATTTTATATATTAATATTTTTCATATTTCGTAAACACTTAATAAAATAAATTAATGTGTATAAGAGGTGTGAGTGAATGGAATGAGTGAGTCAAATACTAGTGAAAAAACAGAATTTTGTCAAATAAATTTATTGCCATAATAGGTATATCGATAACAGTAAAAATATTACAATAATATCCGGGACATTAGTTTTTCTAATTATAATAAGAAATAATAATAATAAAAATAATAATACTGTTAAATAGCTTCAACATCACTCTTAGCAGGAACCGCATCATTTTTGATGTAACCCTGTAAAAAATTAATACTGTTAATAATCCAATATAATTAAATACATAATAATATTTTACTATTCATCAAGTTACTTTAAGAATTAAAAAATATTATATATTTTTTTTAATTACTTATATATTAAAACCGTATTCTCGATTTATATATCATGTATTTATATATATATATGTTACTCGAGAAAGGTTAGACGAATAGCAATCGATTTTTATTGTAAAACTATAACTATACATAGGTAACCCTTCGTTTAGGGTTTATTCGCTTCATGAAATTTATCAAATATGCTTGAATGCTCATTGACTAAACACAAAACCTCAAAAACTACTTCAGCTATGAAATTGATATTTGGCAAACAGGTATTTTATAGGTAGGAGACGTCAGTTAAGTCTTAAGTTTATAAATTCTGAAAGTGTTGCCTTCGTTGCAAGACAAAGTTATTCTAGTTAAATACAAATCAAATATGCAATAAGTTCCATTCATAATGTTATCAAATAGATTAAAATATAACAGTAATAAAATATTTAATAGAAATATTTGAATTTTTAGAAATATTGTTGCTTGTTGTTTTTGTTGATCTTTTGTAGTTAAATGAATATATTTATTGATTGTGATCAGATTTACCTCGCGGCTGCTTTCAGAATTAGTAACAATTATGATTACTTCATTATCTGTGGACACTTCAATTTTACAAACATTATACACAGACTAAATAGACTTTTTCTGGGTACAAGTCAGTTTACCCGATTACCGGCAGAAACTATAAAGTATAGTGTGTAAAAAAATGAGTTAAATATGTGAGTAACCTCGTGCCCGGCGACGTGCGCGGAGCAGGCGGAGTACTGCGCGGCGAGCTTGTCGGGGTGGCAGCGCAGGCGGTGCGAGCGCAGCGTGGACGCGTACGAGAAGCGCTCGTCGCACCACTTGCAGCTCAGCGGCTTGTCGCCCGTGTGCGTGTACATGTGCACCTGTCCGCACACACACACACACACACACACACACACACACGTGTCACCGATACAATTTTATAAAATAAAAAACTTTTTAACAATAAAATAAAAACCGACTTCAAACAAAAGCACTAAAAAGTAAAAAATAACTGATTGGTAGTTTTCATTTACTATACATACCTAATCAAATGTTTTCGAAGTGTGCTTTGCTTTGTATGGGCTGGCACCGATTTCGAAAATATTTTGAAGTCGGTTTTTATTTTTTTGTTAAACAGTTTTTTTTTCCCTTTTAAGCATAAACAGTAGTAGCAAAGTAAGAATTCTAACGTGTTAGACTTGTCAAATCAAACAAAATAAGCCCAAACTCAAAGTACCTACTATTAGTCGTTGAAGAGTTCCACCTATCCACTTTCTGGCCTTACCATCAGATCAGGTCAATAACACCGAACCACTGTACTATCAACGGAAATAGAAACACTTGCAAAGTTCCAAGTCAATATGACAATTAGAAGTAGGTTAAATTCATCATATTTCATCAAAATTGTCCAAATCGGTTAATAACTGACGGAGTTCTGAGGTAACAAACATAAAAAAAATACAGCCGAATTGAGAACCTCCTCCTTTTTGAGGAAGTCGGTTGAAAATACATCCGTACTATTTAAATAAAAATGAATGTTCATATGTTTGTACTCTATGCGTTCCTAAGCCATTGATCCGATTGTGATGAATCTCTGAAATACGCCTGCGAAGATTCCTAGTGCTAAAATAGATTTTTTTCTTTGGATGTTTTTTTTCATCGGAGACAGGCGTACCCGAGCGAAATGAGGGTAAGTCGCTAGTAATATTATAAATGTTTGTTTGTTTGTCCTTCTTTCACGTCGAAACGGAGTGACAGATTGGCGTGATTATTTGTGTGGAGATAGTTGGATGGCTGGAAAGTGACATAGGCTACTTTTTACCGCGGGAGATTATCTAATTCCTACGGGAAAACACGTTATAATACAATCCAAAAAAATATTTATGATCAGAATTACTTGAAACTTGGTGTTAATGCTCTTCAATAAATTTAAATAAATACGTGTTTTAGCATTTTTCGAAATTCGTCCTATATGGGGATAAAGTAGGGGACAAGAGTTTCCCCCCCAACGTGCGTTCACCTTGTCGTGGTGGGGGGGCTCAGTAGTGCCCGGCAATACAACCGGGCGCGAAGCCAAGAAACGCACAGGGAGGTGGCCCGCTTCGGTGGGCGGTGGGAGGCGGCCCTCTTCGGAGGGCGGTGTACAATGCGGGTTGCTCCTGGTACTTCTCTGATAGCAGAGTGGACCTTGGAGCAACCCCGTGGTTGTTGTGGTCTGCTTCGGCAGACCTGCCGTCGGGGCGTAGTAGTTGAATGCGTAGAGTTTGTATGAAACTACCTTTTTAGAGATTTTTGTTGTTTTAGCGCGAGCGAAGCCGCGTGTTTTGCTAGTAATACATAAATTCATGTATTGATATTTGATTGCATTCAAGTACATCGGACTACGTTATAATTATGAAAGTTTATATTGTATGTGTGTGTGTGAATGTTTGTTTCTTCACGCTAAAGCAGTTGGAGGGATTTGGATGAAATTTAGTATACCACAATAACCACAACCAACAATACAAACAGACATTATAATTTTATTTATTTATATAGAGAACTAGCAACTCACCCTCGTTTCGCTCGGGTTCGTTCCTAGGTGGATTCCCCATGCAAACTTTCATCCTCATTTTCACTCCCTGAAGGGATGATTTCCGGGATAAAAAGTATTTTATGTCCTTCCCAGGGTCTCAAACTATTTTCCTACCAAATTTCATCTAAATCGGTTCAGTAGATCCAGAGATTACCCCGTACAACGTCACAAACTCACAAACTTTACCTCTTTATAATATCAGTATAGATAAGGTTAAAAGTGATACCTTGAGCGTCTGCCGCCGTTTGAACGCCTTGTTGCAGTAGGAGCAGACGTGGCGGCACTTGTCCTCGTGCACGAGCAGGTGCTTGCGCAGCGTGCGCCGGCTGTTGAGCACGCGGCTGCACACGTAGCACGCGTACGACGTGTCCGAGTGCGTGTCCATGTGCGTCTTCAGGTTCGAATACGTCTTGAATCTGGTTGCGATTCGGGATACAATTATAACTATATGTTTATAAATTATATCCTATGTGTTAATCTGATTTATAAGCTATATTCATGTAAAGTTTCATCGACATCCGTTGAGTAGTTTTTGCGTGAATGAAACTTACACACATCCAACTATTACATTAGAATGGGCAAACACATTCTTACGTAATATTTTATAAGCCGAAATGTACGATTTCTAATATAGAGATATTTGAGAGTTAAGCGTTGGAGAAAACAACTTTAAGATCTGTTTTTTAATGGACAATTTAAAAAATAAAAATCTTTGATTTACGTCAAATTATAAATTTTAGTACAGTTGATTCTTTTCTAAAAATAGCTCGGAATTGGCTTACCTAGAGATATAAATAGTAAAAGTCCCACAGTCCGTTGCTCATCGATGACCGGCAGAACTCAATGAAGTTTCCCAAGCAACATCAAAAAAAACGAACAAGTAATCAGCGGATGAGAATATAGTACTAACGGCTTAGAACAGGTGCGGCAGACGAAGGGCTTGTCGTCGCTGTGTATGGCGCGGTGCTGGCGCAGCTCGCCGTTGGTGCCGCAGGCGTAGCCGCAGAGGTCGCACACATAGCTCTTGATCTTGTCGTGCACCACGCGCTTGTGCGACGCCGCCGACGACCGCGTCGTGAACCTGCGACCCCATCAAGCATCAGTTAAAAAAATGGGCCCCCACGGGACACCCTTTTTTTTATTGAACGATAGGCTTGCGCTTGACTACAATCAGCGCTGGGAAGCACTGATGAAGTCTAGGTTGAAGCGCGCTTGCCTAGAAAGATGCCCGTTCACTCTAGCCTTGAAGGTACTTGGATTGTAGGTGGCAGGAAACACGGATGCTGGAAGGGTGTTCCACTCCTTAGCGGTTCGATTCAGAAACGTAGAACTAAAACGCTTCGTGCGAGTTGGTTGGATTTCTACCACATAAGGATGCCAGCGCTCACGAATTCTCGCAGTTCTGTGGTAAAACGGTGAAGGTGGCACAAGGTTGTGAAGTTCCTGCGCGCACTCCCCAAAGTATATCCGATAGAAGATCGATAGACAGGCGACAATGCCTCGATGCTGTAGACTAAGCATTTTCGTCTGCGTTAGTGTTCGATCACCTATGATACGGCGAGCTCGGCGATCTATCGAGTCTAATGCATCGAGTTGATACTTGGCAGAGCCATTCTAGAGTTGGCAGCAGTATTTCATAGCTGAGCGCACTTGAGCCTGATAGAGAGTCAGGCGCTGCTCAGGCGTGAAGTATACCAAGTTTATGGCTGCTGTTTTGGCCTTTGACTCGATGCATTTCCCGAAATTGAGGTTGGGCGAAATGTCTATGCCCAAGAGCTCAATACGGTCGCTTATCGGGATGGATACATTTTGGAAAGTGGGAGCCAAGATAAAGGGGCTCCTTTTTGCGGTGACCCGGTAGATGTGAAACATCTATTTTAATATTAAAATTCATAATCTATACATATAATAAAATTCTGAGTCGGAATCTGTACATTAAATATTTTTTGAAATTTTTTGTTGATATAGTCATTAATAGCGATACAGAGGCCGAATCTATAGTTTTAAGAAATCACGAGAAAACCACTGGACAGATTTTGATGAAATTTGATATGATAATAGCTGGTTATTCAAGTCAACATATAGGATAGTTTTTACTACGGAAAAATATCTCATCCCTGAGAAATCTATATTAAAAGCTAAAACATAACTAGGGACGAACCCGAGCGGATAGAGAGTGAGTCACTAGTTAATTAATAAAAATTAAAAATCTATACCGAAATATAGAGTAAAATAAACAAAAAATAGAGTTTCGTTAATGTAATCAATTTATTTTGCTTATTATTTTAATTATAATAAAAATCACCGAATATATAATATTCATAAATAGAATAGAAAATATGTAATTATTTTTAATAGACTGTTTTACAATGGAGCATGTATAGTACACGCGCGCGCACACACAAGGGAGTAGTGGTTTTATTGGCACTTTGTAATTCTGACTTTAAGATATGCCTGTAAGGTTGAATTTGTTTTGTATGTTGACCAGCGAGTCCCGTTCGTAGTTATGTTTTTTTTGCTCTTTATAGCTTTATGAAAAGAACTTTAAACATTGTATGTCAGGTTAAATTTAAATTATCACATATTTATTTCAACTAGAATTACCTAAACACAATTGGTTACAGTTTTAAGAGAACTTTTGCATGGGATTGTGTATATATATATGTATTTTTTTTTTTGCGACGATGGAAATACCAAGGGAAGAACTAGTACAAAAATTCAGAAATGAAAATCAATCACTCATTTTACGTAAAGATCTTTTAGTTTAAAATTAAAATGTCTTACTTCAAATCACATATTTCACAGCGGTATATCTTCCTCTGTTCTATCGGTATGTGCGAGCGTTCGTGCGACTTCAGCGTATCTTTTGAGTTGAACACTTTATCACAGGAGGAACAACAGAACTTCCTCTCAGACTTTGGTACATGCCTCATTTTGTGTTTATTCATTGCTGCCACTGTTTTCGTTATTCTTGGACATTTATCACAACTGGAAAAATTTGAAAATTAACCGTCATAATATACAGGGTCATTTTTAATTTATTGAAAACCTTTTGGGAATACACTACTTACAACATAACAACAACCAACATCTGTAAGAAAAAAAAATAATTTATCTTAAATTTAACAAAAATAAAAGTATTTTTATTGCACCTTCTAAACGGTAATAGTCCAGCATTAGCAAAAGAAAGTGCGTGTCCGGTGGAGGGGGAGGGGTGGAGGGGTGTAGGAAGCCGCGCTTACTCATTTAAACTTTGCCAGATACTAGAACTTTAAAGTTTAGAAGGTGCAAAAAAATATTTTTATTTTTGTATGAAAATAAAAAATTAAGAAATATTGTTTTTTCTTGTTACAGATGTTGTTGTTATTATGTAAATAGTATATTCCCAAAAGGTTTTCAGTAAATTAAAAATGACCCTGTAGATCTATACATATAAATAAAATTTAAGTGTCTGTCTGTAAGCAACCCCTTTTAAATTTTTTCTTTACGCCTTTCTGTTCGTTCAAAGTAATCTTTGGAAAGGCTATTGGTTACAATTGTAATGAGACTTCTGAAAGATAGAAGAGCATGTGTGTATCCCCTGTATGTGAAACTAGCGATCAATGCGAACAATGATATAAGGATTTAAAATATATATATATATAAACTAGCTTTAATCTATTCTAAAGTTTTCATTTCAAATAAATTTAACCCAATTAGAAAAAAAATAGTTCAAAAATCAAGTAACAATAGTTTTTGTCACAATCCCAGTGACACCTTAAAGCACATTTTGACTATTCCATTCATTAATATTGTTATTGAGAATTTAGCTTTCCATATCCACTAGAAAAATTTAGCACTACAAAGTACTTACCAAATGACATTTGGATTTTTATGATCTTGTACATGTTTGTACAAAACAGATTTAGATTTTAGAGTAATTCCACATATACAATTCACTACAGGCATTATGTTATGTTCCTCTTCACAGTGGGACCTTAGACTGTACCAACTCTTACACTGCTTCTGACAAGTTGAACAAGTGAAGCTAAAAACGGTAAAGTATTATTATTATACGCATTTTTATGTAAATATTTAATAAAACTAATATTTCTATCTACAATATCACAATCTAAAGATGTTAAGACTATCTTAATGATGATTTATTAGATACTAGTTAGCACGCGTAGGAAATGGGGTGGGTGTCAAAGGTAGTACCACATACTTAACAAAATCAGTCACATTTAGACTTGAATATTTATCCTCATCTTGTTTATCTGAATCTGAATCAACACTCTTTTTAATTTTTCGGCTCTCTACTCTGTGATCTGACACATGTTTGTATAGAACACTTTTTGATCTTATAACAAAACCACAAATACAACTTAACATTGGTTTACTTTTATGAATTTTAGCATAATGGCTTCTTAATCCACTCCAAGTTTTAACAGTTTCTTCACATAAGTCGCACTGCAACCTAAAATCAAAAATGTATGTCAAAACAAAAGCATTCAACAAGATAAATGAGATATTAAGTAGAATGAGATTTTTATATTCTATTATAAATATTATTATTAGCTTACTTGACAAAATCTTTAACATTTAAATTGGATTTTTTTAATATCTTTTGGAACTGGACTTCTTCAGCCTGCGTTAATATTTTTCGTTTGACTTTTTTTGCTTTAGACTCCTTCAAGGTAGCTAATGTTACATCACTCAAATCGCCATCACTGTCGTGTTTATTGTCACTGTTGTAATCATGTACTTCGAAACCAGACATTGATCCATCATTATCAATAGCACCTGAAATATTGTTAAATCTGATATGTTGTTACTGATATCAAAGAGTTTGAAACAAATTATGTCCAAGAAGCGTAATTTTTGCACTCAATGTAGAGAAATAGTAATAATTCATACTAATATACTTGTATATTATTTATATCATCTATTTATATCATCTATCTATACATATAAAAAATTGTAACTAAGCCGAATCTGTACATTAAATATTTTTTGGAAAATCTTATTGAAATAGTCATTATTATCGATACAGAGGACAAAAGTGTTCATCGTTTGTTAGTTTACTAACTGGTACTTATTAACACACTTTTGATGAATGCAGTAGAAATATAAGTAGAAAATGAAATCGAATAAATTTTATTTCAGCACAATTATGAATGGGCCCATGGGAACCTGGGCTATTAAAAATAGTGTTAAGTTAAGGTCTCAAGGCAAGCGCAATGTTAGGCCTGTTACTAGTATAAGGTGTTATTATTGCAATAGATTGCTAGCCATCTACAACAATAAATACATTTGTGTAAACATTGCAAGAAACAGAGACGCAAACTTTCATATTTTTACAATGTTAATAATCTATATATATAAAAATCGATGTGTTGTCCCCTATGGACTCCAAACCAGATGGATCGATTTTGATGAAATTTTCAGGCAATGTTCAGATCAGGCCCACAGGTGTTCCTGTGAAGTTTGGTAGCGATCAGAAGTTTAAACCGAAGGTCGAAACCCCAGGTACTGTGATTTATAAGCCACTTAATAAAAAAACGAGAATGTATTACTATAAATAAGATACTTACTTACTAAGTCTTCAGCAGATAATTCAATTTTAACCTTAAAAAGAAATAAATGAGTCAATCGTTTTTTTTTTAATTTCATTAGAAAATCAAATCAAAATCAGATTTGGCGGGTTTGAAGTGCCGCCAATCTACAGTTAGGGTTACTAAACGTACTGTTAAAAACAGTATTATACTTTATTTAGCTCTAAAATACTTTTTACTGTTCAATATAAAAAAAAAGTATTCAAAATACTGTTTTTATCATCGCTGGGTCTGGACACATAAAAGGCTGTCATGTCGAGATCAGCCATTGATCATTATTAACCTTTTTGAAAAAATAGTTAAAATTCTCAATTGGCACAGACTCAATATTATTATATTGATAATTTATTTTCAGAATTAATACAATTCCAAGTTGTTTATGTAAATTATCTAAGGAACAGTAGATATGAATACTTACTGGCCAAAAATTGAGCTATATATTGAACACTTCATAAGAATATTTAAAAAATGACAACAAATTATTAAATTAAGCAAGAATCTCAAAAAAATATGTTTTGAAAAGTTAAAAAAAAACTAAATACTGTTTATTTTTCTAAAATACTATTTATTTTAGCTCTCCAACCCTAATATGCTTTATTTCTTATACAAAACTGGCAACCCTATCTACAGTGGTGGTCTGAATAGGTAAGTACCCAATAATCTCCTTAAGGCTAAAGTAACCGTTGCTCATTTTATTTGTTTTGTAGATATATCCATATTTATTAATTGAAAAGACACAAAATGTTATTTCTGATGCTTACCTCTTCTTTTATTGGCCTTACAACATAATCAACCACATCACCCTCAATCTTTATAGGATATTTTTCACATGAATCTATATACATTTTCCTTAGTGTGTCTTGAACTTTAAGACATTCTAATACAAATAGCTGAAAGGATACCACTTTATCTTCACAATTTAAACATACTTTCGTGGGTAATTCTTCATTTTCGAGGACCTGAAAATATAAATATAAAACAAAGTTAGTATTTATTTATCGATGTACAAATTAAAACCTAATAAACATGCTAGATAATAAAATAAACCGCTTTATTGAATATTAAATAGATTTAATTTCATATTTGTAAACAAAATAATTTTTAGACTCTTTAAAATATAACTCTTAATATCAAAACAAATAACAAACACTCTTAAGTCGCTACATCTAGTAGTATTACTTACCGGTATTTGTATAAATTCTTGTATCATTTTTAGAACATTTTTGTTAGAATCATCTATTAAGTCCTTCGAAAATTCGTCCTTTTTAGCACACAATCTACACAAATCCTTTATATTCAAAGCCATATTCAGTAACCTTAGAAAACTATCATGATGACATACCCCAATGATTATATAAAACGAACATTAAAGTGATGAAATTGTACTTTAAAATGTAAATATAACGTTTAAATACCCATAATATTTGAAATTATAGTAGCGCTGAAGCAATTTAATGAGATAAACACCAAAATTACATTATTACATACAAATGACAGCTTCATATTAATTAATATAAAATACAGATAATGATAAATGCTTATATTTATTAATAAAATAAATATTTTATGAATATGAATTATTATTACATCCATGCAAATTTATGTCAAGAAAATCTCAATAATAACAAAATATTTATATACCTATCAAAGAAATATAAATTTAATTATTTTAAGTTTTTAAATCATGTTTTTTTTTAAATAGAAACAAGAGACCCCACAGATAGAAATTAGAAACCATATTTACCAAAACATTGAAACGACGAATATCTTCCTACAAAAAAAACATTATGGTTACAAATTACAATCGTAAGGGAAAAGAAATTTGCCCTTTTTCTTCCGCCAGACATCGTGATCACTATACTCCTCAGTATATTGAAAAGCTCTATAGGCCTGGATAGATATTTATTTCATTTTATTTAAAATTTAATTAAAATGACAAATTGAGCAGTGCCAGGATGCAAAGAAAATGGATATAATTTGTACCCAAAAGACAAAAACTGAAGAAGTTGTGGTCTAAAGCAATAAGATAACCAAAAATCAAAATTGATGAAATCACAATTTTTATATTTGAGGCTATGTGTACATCATTTTAAACAAAGTGATTTAAAACTCTTAAATCGTCTAAATGTGATTTTATTTTTTTATTTTTTTGTACTTTTTTACATATTAATTACAGAGTTTTACACAAACTTTCATTCCCAATTTTACCTTTTTATGGTATTTGAATTTCGAAAAATGCTCTTCAATACAATTAAATAAAACACGTATTTATTTAATTGTATTGAAGAGCATTAATTCTTTTTTCGTTTCAAGTAATTCTGATCATAAATAATTCTTTGCTCATATTATCTTTATTATCGCCCTTTTCAAAATCAAATAAATATATTTCTTATCTAGCTCTTTAAACCTCTTTCTGTGTATTTCACATTAAGAATGACAGAGTTTCATTCAATCTTTAATCCATTATTTTAACTTCTTAGGGGATGAATTTCAAAAAAATCTTTTCTTATCGGATGCCTACATCATAAAAGTAATTCGAAATGTCACTTTTCTACGACCAGCAGTTTAGGCTGTGTGTTGCTCCATCAGTCAGTCAGAACCACCGTAGAATGCACCTCTCCTTCTCAATTATTCCTTCAGCTGGTTTATTTTCAGGTACAATACCTTGCACAGATAAGATACGAGCACAATAAAAGTAAAGAAACCAGGTATAGAGGTATCACAATAAATTGCATAACCTCAGATTGAATGTAAATAGGCCATACGTATAGCGCCTTCCTTGCGGGAAATCTTCCCCAGTATAAGTTAACAACGAAGTTAATTTTATTTATTATCTATACGTCAAAACGATGCGATGCATCTGCGTCGGATGCTTTTGCTTCTAAATGTCATAGCTTCAGTTGATGTTTCTAAAAGTGTAACGTAAATAATTATTTAATACCTCTCAAATCTCAATTTATAAATCAGTTTAACTATTTCAATTTATAATAAACAATAGAAATCAGCAGGCTAGGAGTCAAGATGATTCTTAGTTAGAAAATTACGATATATGTGTAATTATACTCGTTAAGTCTTTAAAATTTCCGTTTGATCAACATAATGGATATTCATTCAGATTTGAATGAGCCTATTACACCAAGGCAAATATTTGAGAATATGCATTATTGGAAGCATGAAGATAGTGGTTACCAAACTTCTTTTACACCAGAATCTTTAGAATGCTCAGGTATTTCTGGAAATAATTTAAATTCTACATTATTCAAACGAAAAATAAATTTTGTTGGACAGCTTCAACTTGATTGCTATGACCTAACGAAAGAAGTTACCTTTGGACCAACACTAAATTATAGCTCTGGACTTATTAAGCCAAATGGAGATTATAAAGAATCACCACAAAATCGAAGAGGAACTAAACGGGTATTTCAAGAGGAAGCAGACAGTATAGATGTCAATAGTTCCATCCCAACACCAACTTCCATGATATCAGGTGGACTACGCAAACTAAAGTTTAATGAAAGTCACAAATTAAATGCAAATTTAACTTCAAGTTTTACAGCTGGCGATATTTACAATATTAATGAGAATATTCATTCACCATATCCTACAACACCCATCAAAAAGAACTGCAGAAGTAGTTGTAAGTTGAGTAGTCCCTTGAATCCAAAAAGACCAGTAAAGAAGCTTAATTTTGTTATTCATTCAATATCTTGTGATACACAAGCATTGCAACCAGCAGCAAAATTTGCTAAGCAGGAAACTGAAATGAAAAAATATCATTTCAAACCTAATCAAAAAATTGATATAATAAAACTTTTATACAATAGCAAAATGATGCCTCCAATAATGAAAATTTTGAATTACTTATCTCCTGAAGATATTTTTAATTTTAAACTAGTTAGTCCATTTTGGCAAAGTATATGGAATGATGTTAGTATCAAATCTAAAAAAAAAGAATATCTAAACTTTTTAGCTAATGTTAAAGAAAACCAAGAAAATAAAATGTCTACACCTAAAAATAATGACACAAATCAAATAAGGCCTTTAATGGAGAGACATAACATTTGTTATCCAAGGCAAGTTACTTCTTCAAAAAGCCCTCCTGGTACACCAAGAACGATTAGATTCAAAAGATATACTAAAGTAAGTATAAAAAATTTAAACAAATTATTATTTACTTTTTTTTATTACCATAGAAAATATTTAATTATAATATTCCTTTATTTTTAGGCAGCTTCATTAGATTCTCGCAAGCAGTTATCATGTGTAAGATGTTGTCAACCAGCCAAAGTTACAGAAGAAAATTCCGGAGAAGAATGGGTAGAGTGTACTAGTGAAACATGCGCCTACCAATTTTGTAAGTTCTGTAAATGTGAACGGCATCCAGATAAGAAATGTTTCCAATATGACTTGGATGGTCCAAGTCCTTCTAAAAGAAAGAAAAGTACTTGTGCAGTCGGTACAAAAAAAAGTAGAAAGAATTTAAGGAGACTTCTGTCATAAAAATCTTAGGACTTTATTATAATACCAGTGACTTACTTTAGATCTAATAGGTTTACATTCCAAAGATATGATGGTTTTTAAAATCATCATGTACAGGATGTTAGTTTGGGATAAAATAGTAATCAAAAGATCCTAAGGCTTTGAAATTGTGCCATGTTTTATAATTATTATTAATTTACAACACAAACTCATTTTATATTTTACCATAATTTACAAAATATTTCTAAAAGCAGCATCAACTATTTATCAATTTTAAGAATTTATTTCATTTTAACTTCCAGTGTTATCCTTTAATTCAATTTTATTTTTTTGTTTAGAACAAATATTTCTAAAGTGTAAAATTATCTTAGTATGCAATAATATAAAAATAATAGTAATTTTCGAAAATAAAAAGCAAGATATATATAAATTCATTTATTACCAAGTGCTTTTAGAAATTTTTTGATATTTGTTTTATAAACAACTTGTAGAATAGTTGAAAGTAGAATAATAAACCTGACTGATTTTTTAGTATTTTTAAAGTGTTTTTAGAAATTTCTTGCAAAATGTATCAATTGTAATAAGGCTTCAACTAACATGAAATTAATTCCAAAATAAGTACAAAGGATAACAACTGTGATATTACTGCTAATTTCAATAGTTCCCATATTAAAAACATTCACACAATACTTTTTGCTCTACTGAGGAAAACTAAAGACTAGAATTAAAGCTCTCTGCATATTTGTTATTATAGTATACTCACTCATTAGATTTAATATGTGATTTTATTGCAAAACATCACATGAATTTTGCATTATTTTTTAATTATAAATTGTAATATTTTAAGTTAACTTCATGTTTTTTAGAAAATATAGTATTTGAAAGGAAACATTTTTGTGTTGACATATTATGTATTTGAAAAGTGTCTTAAATTTTTTCAACTTTTGCCATTATAAAATGCCATATGAATAAGACTTTAAAAATATTGTTGAACGAACTTATAACGGAGATAAGTTCTACAATACTCTTTCTTATTTCTAGTCTTTTACTGTATAAACTTTTGTGTTGTCTAATTTAATTGTATTATTAATAATATTGCTTTTATTACCGATGTCACAAATTGCATTTATTATAATTAAAATATTCAAACAGAAAATCTTTTGAAATACTTTGGTAGATATTGAAGTTTTAAGAATAGTACCACAAACCAGCCTAAAGGCTTGTGCTAATTTACCGACGCGACACGACATGGCGTTCCAAACCTGTTCTTAAAACGGCAATACTTAACCAGTATGACGATTTCGAATTGTATTCCACAACGGAAAATGGATATTTGTGTGTTTTAATCATTCAGATTCAATAATGCTTTACATAGTTTCTAATTATAAATTCAATTATTAGTTATTTTCAGTTTGATCGAAATTATTCCACAATGGAGATTTATTTATACAGTATTAATAATGAAGGACATGTTCAATAGAATGCCTTAAATATTATGTTTTTTACTGTTTTGGTCATACAATTAAAAAGTAAAAGGTACTCGAAAGCAATTAAAAGTAGCAATACAAAAACGTCTATATGTCATTTAAGGTTTTTATTTTCTTGACGGCTTGTAAAAACCTGTTTGAATCTTTTGCTAGTTTTAATTTAATAAAAAAGACAGTCATTTTAACGTCTTGTAATTTTAATGTATATAGATTGGGTAAATTGAATGTTGTTTAGATATAAAATAGCGTTGTAGAAGGAAAAAATGGGATTCCCTATTCAAAATAAAACAAGCTTACTCGATTTTTACTGTCGCATTCAGAACAAGTTATCCTTTAAGAAGGGCGGTCTGCCCGGGGTGGCACCAGTTTGGGGTACACCCGTCTGTTTGCAATTTGCAAACACAAAAATCCAAGAGCTTTCCGCTCCTTTCGTGCCTTGCGGGTTGCCATCTGTTTCCTTTTCAAAAGGCGCCACCATCCGCAATAGCCCTGCTATAATACTAAGTCTCGAAATAAAGAATTTTCTATCTAATTCTTTAGAAATACCACGATTCTAGGTCGAATGTGACAAAAAATATCTAGTAAGCTTTGGGAATTTAAAAATGATACTTAATAGTTATAGGTTTCTATGGAAAAGGCAAACCAAGCGTGTTATCACAAAATATAAGTTTACTAGCACTAGTAGACCAGTCTTAGCGATCATTTGTTTAATTTACATTTGGAAAGGTAGTATTAATTGTTATTTAATGACAAGTGCCTTTCTGCCTGTGCCTGTATGTATGTATCATATAGATGGTACATAATAGTGATAGCTTAATATGAAATGCTGTCTATAGTATGTATGAAAAGAAACTTTAATTATATTAGTTAGTTATTATATGGTATTTTCTACCTCATAATAACTCGATGGTATTTTTAATTTATTAATAATAATTGACATTCTTCTTAGTTTTACGTTTATGTAAAACGTTTATTTTTTAATTAATGTTTTAAACATATTGGAGCAAATAATTTTTGTTTTACATTGTGTGTATAAGTTTGAAAATTACATGATTTGAATGTAATTAAAAACGAAATGCTTAAGAAGCTCCATCGTCTCAATATTTTTAATAAATAATGAAAATGAAAGGTCTTTTTATTTTTGTATCATTTAATGAAATATAAAATTCTTAAGATTACTTTAAAATTACATAATTTACAGAATATATGTACAAAAAACTTATAACTGATAGAATTTAATTAAACTTAATAGTAACAATATGCAAGAACCACCAGTAGATATTTTTTTTTTTTTTATTGAATGTAAAAAAACTTCATAAGGATTTTTACCACATAAATTGCAATATACAGTTGAAAGTCTGAATGTCTGACGTAGCGTACTAAAACGATAATTTTTTTGGTTATTTATGTAAAAATAAATTATAGTATATTTTTACGATGAATATCCGGTGGTGCAGTATTTGCCTCAGTTCCTGATAACCGTCCTCTCATTTCATCCGAGGCCCATTACAAACTTTGGTATTTGATAAGCCACTTGGGGTATTTGCATCAACATTGACATTCTGCAAAATAATATTAGTTTAGTGATTTTATATATAACAAAAGAACATAAATATCAAATTATACAATACCTATGAAAATTTTATTATAAAAGAAGTCAGGAATGAAAGGAAGCGAGATAATCTGAAATATTTACATAATACATTAGTTAAGCGTGGATTTAATCTAAACTAACACTACAGGTGGCATTAATTGAAAGGTTGAATTAAATATTATTTTAAATTTAATTATATTAATCATTTTACACCAACACCATAATTAAAATTAGATAATATATTAAACTTTTCTTGGGTGCATTCTTGCAGGTGATAGTCCAGAATGCATCTAACGTGTTAATGCTATCTAGACACCGCCTATTAAATTTAGAATAATATGGGAAGGATATAAGCGCTACGTCAAATCGCCATAATAATATTATATTGTATGTCGCATTTAATGTAGGTTTTTTTTTCATATTGACTTTCATTTCCCTTTTTCTCAATTCTTATAAATCCTACGTCGTCCAAGGAATATTTTTTCTATACAGCGGTTTGCTGTGCTTCTAAATATTCTTTGTGTAGAAAAAAGCAAACAATATTAAGTGAGAGAGTTGTGGTAAGAGAATGTATCCCCCCAACGTGCGTTCACCTTGTCGTGGGGGGGGGGGGGGTTGGCGGGGTTGGTGGCTCAGCTCAGTGCCCGGCAATCCAACCGGGCGCGAAGCCATCCAACCAAGAAACGCACAGGGAGGTGGCCCACTTCGATGGGCGGTGCACCATGCGGGTTGCTTTTGGTACTTCTCTCATAGCAGAGTGGACCTTGGAGTAACCCCATGGTTGTCGTGGTCTGCTTGGGCAGACCTGCCGTCGGGGCGTCGTAGTTAAATGCGTAAGCGATCCTGCGACGCCCCATTAAGACGGGGGAAGGTTTTGTTGTGTTTTAGTGGGTAGTACTGGCTTTATTACGCCGGTGAGTCCCACACCTCGTGCGTAAATGCATTTCCTAACGTTAAAAAAAAGAGAATGAATGATGTCATCTCTACTTTGCATCAGTTACGAGTAGCAAAAATTTTAATAAAATTAGCCTCGAAGTGCACAAACCTTAGTCCTTGCAGCACCTAAAATAGTTCCACCACCATTATACTTGTTGTACACTAGGTCTGTGAGATAGAAGATAGGGTTATTATTTAGCAAGCTTCATATTATGTAAGTAATTATACTTTAATAATTAATTAATGTAAGAACTATGAATTCTACTATTTATGTATGTGCATATTGGCGACGCGACGTAGAGATGTTATATCATAATATATGCATATTATATTATTTAATAATAGAATCCCTATATTAAGAGCAGCGTTATGTTATAATGTGTATTGTAATTAATTTTAGATTATTTACAATAGTTACAATGAATCACATTAAGTGATAATGACTAGTGCTCGACTGGAGTAAGTATTCTTTAAAAATAAAATCTATAACTATAAAAATATGAATTTGTTATTTTTACTGACCCTAAAGTTGAATTTGTTTTAAAAGCTGTATAAAATAAATTGAGTTATTTATCTCTCCTACATTCTCTACTGCATATATATTTACAAGATGTTCGTAAAGTGAGAACTTTGGCTTACAATATCTAGAAAGCTAGAAGAAAATTAGCAATAGCTATAAAAGCAGCAAAGTGGCAAGCGAATACTGGATATGGAGCACTAGCGAGTAGCAACTCACGAGACAGACAGGCCGTTGTAGAGCCAGGCGCGCCATGTCTGCGGCGCGGGGGACGCGCCGTCTATCCGCGCCTCGATGTGCCCGCACAGCGCGCGGCGGTCGTGCGAGCGGCCCGAGCGCGCGTCGCATATCAACCGCTTACGGCATTCCCCGTCGCAAGTACCACGGCGCGGACTGTTCTTCCAGTAATGTCTGAATTGGAAATAAATAATATATAGTTTTAATGATCAGTATAATATAGGTACTATATTGTATACTACATATCTCACTTCCTTAGATGACCAACAGTAATCAACGACCGACCTGCTATCGGTGTACTAAATTTTATCCAAATCCGTCTAGCCGTTTCAGCGTGAAGAAGTAACAAACATATAAAGTTTCACCTTTATAATAGTAGTCCTATATTACGGTCCTTTATAATTAACAGACTGATTAATATCCCACGAGGTTTTCGTGATATACTGAGATAAAGAGATTACTATAGCACATACGTTGCGTCAAAAACCAACGTATGTAGGTACTTGCGAAAAAACATATAATGGGCTATTTTGTTTACGGCCATATGGGTTTGGATTTTTTTTCATATCGTATTCTACTAGTCAAACCCAATAATTTGATATCCATATTATGGGGGTTGTAAAAAATATGTAATCCGCCATTTTGTGGCGGCGGCCATCTTGGATTTACAATGATAGTATTTATATTCAATTTTATTGTAATTTATCATCAGAACTAAAAGTGTGTAGCAAATATCAGATAAATCTGTCAACAGGAAAGAGGTCAATAACTAAATTTGACCCAAACAAACAGGGCAAGCTACATAAAACTGTTTAAAAATATTATTGTTTCAGTTTTTATACAAATATGAAAGTAGAGTATACATACTCTCTTCATAAATATCACCTGAGTTTAGAAAATCTGTTTATAGTAACTAAAACATGTATACTTGTGATATAAGTTGAAAATATCTTCTTTAGAAGTCATATCATCAATGAATTTGTCCCAGTCCTGCGGGCGTAGCGACGGCATCATGTAGGCAGAGCGCGCCGAATAAAGTTTATACCAAATTGGATAGCCAAAAAGGTTTGCTTCTTTTAAATTCATAATCCATGTTTCATGGTCAACTACTAACTGTAATATCAAATATATTAAAACGTAGGAAATATGCAAATAATAATAATAATATCTCATTTAGTAGAGTAAAATATAGCTATTAATATATATGTATAGTAGAGACAACATAAAAACAAGCAGTAGCATAAAGCACAAAACCAATTATTTCACATAGTTAATATTCGATACGTACTCTAGTTGTAGCGTCATGATCTCCATCAACATAATATATTCGATATCCTAAATTTAAATCATAATATGGTGATACTGATGGTCCCACATACGCTATACTTGTTGCTCTTCCTGTGGAATATGTAATTTTTAATATCGCAATTTAATATATAATTACATATAATAGATGACTTAAATACTTTATTTTTAAATTTAAAAATAATATTGCCTTATATTTTATATGACTTAAGTTAATAAAGTAATCGATTACAAACCTAAATCATTTGGATCGTAAAACACTTCTAATTCATCAAAGTGAGTGTGGCCGAAAAATTGTGCAGTTATTGTAGATTCATATCGATTAATAATAGCGTAATAATTCCTACTCCAGACTTTAATACAATCAGAATGTCCAGGTGGTATATGACCGATTATATGAACCTTTTCCCCGCTAAATTCTGCAGACTGTAACTCATAAATAAGCCACTGTAATTCCGTTGCTGGATCCGTACTGTTTAATAGGAGCCACCTGTAATTGAAATAAAATAATGTCTATAAAACAATGGAATTTAGACATTTATATATTACCTTATTAGCAAATACCTAGTTATCTCATGTTCTATTTGTCATTCAACTATTTCTAAGAAGTACTTATGCGGGCTGACATACCTACCTACTCTAGTCTGTAGTAATAATAAATATTACCTACTTCTAATTAACTGCGTTGAACCTTTGATAATTAACAGTATTGAATGTTACTCGCCACATTATTAACTTAATGTATTTTTCAAATTATCTATTATAAAATTACTAGCGACTCACCCTCGCTTCGCTTCAGGTTCGTTCATAGGCAAATCTGTCCCACGGAAAACGTACATTTTTCCGAGATGAAAAATAACTTATATGCTATTCCAAACTATAATCTATCTCTGTGTCAAATTTCAATCAGATCTGTTCAGCCGTTCTGGCGTTAAAGAGTAGCAAACTTCCATCCATCCATCCTCACAAACTTTCACATTTATAATACATATTAGTAAGGAATAAAGATATGGATTCTCTAGAGTCTAGACTAAAACAAAATTAAACTTATGACTATTTATAAATTATAAACTAATACTTTCTTAGATTTACGCGAATACGTGACATTTTAAAAAATATTATAAGGTACTTTAGTGCCATTTTTAAATTTTTTGTATTCATTTTGTTATTTGTGAATTTCAGAAAATCCTTTCTTATCGGATGCTCACGTCATACAAAGAACACACCCTGCAAGTTTCAGGTCTCTACGATCAGCGGTTTAGGCTATGCGTTGATCCATCAGTCATTCAGGACAAAGCATTTTATATGTATAGATTACTTTACGAAAATCTTACCAATTTTTATTATTACAATAGTTCATATTAAGTGATATGATTCTGAATCCAGGTCGAACAAGAACAGAATAGAATGCACCGCGGCGGACGGTGTGGGACACTCCGGCAGGCAGCCAGCGTCGCCATTGTGTGTCCAGTTCGTTGTAGAGCCACGCGATGTTCGACTCTGGTGACGAAATGTATGGCGGTGGGAAACTGCAAAACAAGCAATACAAACCCATAATTACATCTTACATAATATTCTATTGCATTTTTAAATTCATGTAAAGTAAAGGCTATTATTTAATGTCCTATAAAATACTCTGTCCTATACTCTAAATCGTAAGGTTAGAATCATTAAAACCAAATTATTTCTTTTAACATAATATTTTTTGCTATCGAAATGTAATAGAATATAAATAGTAATATATACTATCCACAGCTATTTACTAGATAATATATTTTTTTCATAAATATTTTAATATTTCGACGACTTCCGTCAAAAACAAAAATTTCATTATTTCTTTGATATGAATATTATAATGACCCTCATTGAATGCATAAAGTTGCACGATCATTTTATTTATAACGGACCTAGGTCGTTATTACGTAAATTGGAACTACAATCTCAGATCATTATTATACGAAAAAAATGACAATGAGGACAATTGTGTGAATGACGTCTACATTGCTCACTCTTAAGAAAAAGGAAATTTAATAATAAATAATAAGTTATATCCTGTAGTTGATTTATACCGTTTGATTACCTGTTTACCGGTGAAGACTCGTGGTTTCCAAGCGCAGGGAAAATAGGAACGCCAGGAAACATGTCAGACATTTGTGCTACAGTTTCTTGAAGGACTTTGAGATTTTCTTCCTTTGTTTGATTCCATACGTCATGTGGGGGTAAATCTCCAGTCCATAAAATATAATCTATATCCTAGAAAAAAAGATTGTAATTCTAATGATTAATCTCGACGGCATGATGCAATAAAAAACTGGCTTTTATAGCTATTATGTGGTTAAACTGAATAGTAATTTTCCATACTAACGGTATGAGTATCAGCTATATGTTTCAACATGTGATCGATAGTACGCTTCGGTGTATCACATTTTCGATAGTCTCCCCACCGACCTGCGCCACCACCGGGACTTATCACAGGGCCACTGGACGCGCGACAACAAAGAGGTTCATTACATTCAGCATTTGCGCCTGAAATGATTTTTTTAATTTTTTTTTTTAATTTTTAGTTGTATAATACGACATAACACTATTTTATATCACAATAATTAATAAATGTTACCTTCAGCGTAGTACGGATCGAAATGCGTATCAGAAATTTGTAAGACTTTGAAGGTTGGAGCTTTATCAACTGGAGCTTCTAAAGGTCGTGCTACTGGTTTCGGTACCGGAGGGAATGCCACTTCCCATTCGTGATATGGATTGTAAACATCGCCGCAAGCGTCTCCAATTACAAAACTGCAGATTTCATCTGGCCCAAGTGTTATACGTTTAAGAACATACACTACTTCACTCTGTAAGATATAATAAGATCAGCCATCTAAGTTAAGATATAACATCAAATTGCACTTATACAATAACTTACCCCAAAAAGCCTAGTAATGCCTTCGCAAACTCTAGCAGACTGAATATTTAATGAAACGCAGAACTGATAAATCATTTTATTAATCTCATCTTTACTTTTGCCAAGTCTCATATAGTGTTGTAAAAGACCTGCACCAGCTTTACATGCTGTGCAAGAAACTTTGGACATAACAGAATGTTCGACTTCATAGTATACTTGTTTTAAATTTAATAATTTTAATGCTTTGTCTACGAAGAGGGGTAAATTAGAACTTTTATCACTATCCCACAATAACCGGGAGTAGTTTCTTTTTAAAGCAGCCATATGGGCAATAAGTTCCGTTTCATTTGCGGATGGAGGTAGTTTATGAGTGAAATTCAAAGGCATGAAAAAAGGTTCATCATTACGAGGTGTTCCAGTCCAACTCCATGTATCTGTTTGTGGTTTCCATTTTATTACAGGTTTAATATTTCTGCTAGATTGTTGTTGCAAAAATAAGGGACTACCTGTAAATAAGAAAAAAATAATTATAGTTGCATTCTATTAGTATTATAATTTTTTGTTAAAGCTTAAGTTGTTCAACAAATTTAGATGAAATTTGGTAAGGACATCATGGAGAGGGCCTAATAAGCCAGGTTTTATCCTCGTATCGCTTACCACGTGAGCGATAAGACTATAATTTAACAATATTTTTTGCATTAGAGGAGAATAATAAAGATATTGTACTAACCTGATATCATCGTAATTGTCATTATTATTATTATATGAACTAGCCATGGTATTCTAATGATCATAACTGGGAACTTCGAAGAAAGATAATCTGTAACAAATACATATTGGTGTTAAAAAAAGTTCATTATTCTATAGGTACGTCTATACTAATAATAAAAGTGTAACTGATTGCTGTCTGTAAAGAATCACCTAGGGACGAAATCGAGCGAAGCGAGTGTGAGTCGCTAGTTATATAATTTTATAATAAAATTTATTCATATTCTTCATTACACCAGGTTGAAATTACCTGATGAAATACTATAAGTTTGCAAAAGTCATAGGTATATACGAGTATAATATTAAAGTTTTAGAAATATATAAATGTGAACACCAAACTACCTTTTGCTTAGTTAGGTTCGAATTTTACCGTTTTATCATACACAAAATGGTCTTTCACCTTAAAAATGTTCATTACTAATAACTATAATAAATTGTCCCTCATAAAAAATCTCATAAAAGCCTCATTCACAATATATGTCAATAAAAAGTCTCGTAAAAAGTGTTATTCTATGAAATTGTTAAAAAGTTAATTTAATTTATCAGTGGGTAAGATCCTAGTGAAAGTAGGTCAAATAGTAGGCATTGGATTGGTTGCTCATGGATAACTATAAAATTTAATATGTAAATATTTACGACTAGCTAAGATCTATGCGGGTATTACATAAAAGTATGTATAATATTATGCCTAAACTGGTCACATAGAAACGTGTCGTAGGTACACGTAACAACATTGATTATTGTTTATTTGTTTTATACATTATGTGCTAACAATTATCTACAAATAAAATGTATGTTATATACGGAAGATAGGGATATGATAATATTTTTAATAATTTTATTTACTTTCATCATACCAGATCGTCAAGACATAGATTTTTACTTAACGCGGAAATTGAGAACTCTACCACACGCATAGAAATAAAATGACATGTGAAAAGCTTAAGTACGCAAGAAAATTCGAAGGTGTAATAATCTATTTATTAAATTTTCTACTCATTATACTAAGATAAACTAAAATTTTATTATTTATTACAATTTTTCTACGGTGGTGTATTTATTTATCTTATACTTATATACGTAATAAAATAAACGCTGATTATTATTTATATTTTGTGTTGTACCTTGTTCTTCAACTATCCATTCGATTGTAACTAAACTTTGATAAGTTGTGATGTGCACGTCCTCAAATTCTTTTGATATTACGATAGGTGACGCGTGTGTATTACGTGATATAGATTATAGGCCGAAGTAATTTAGGGGTGTATACAGAGTACATACATATACATAATATATTTCATGTCACTTTACTTGTGCCACCCAGGGAGCATCAATAGTAGTATAAATATTTTACATATTTTCAAAATAAATAAAAATCTTTACATTGTATAAAATGAAGTCGCTTCCGCTATCTGTTCGCTTAGATCTTTTAAACTACTCAATGGATTTTAATGCAGTTTTCAGCAATATATAGAGTGATTCAAGAGGAAGGTTTATATGTAGTATAATACATGCATGTTATAGTACAGAAAAGCCGAGAAATTCAAATATTTGTATTTCATACTAACCGTTAAAACATACCTAGGGACGAAGCCGAGCGAAGCGAGGGTGAATCGCTAGTATTATAAAAGTCAAAATTGTAGGAAGCTCTTTGGATGAATGAGCTATACGTAAAACCTGACGTAAGCTGGCTTCAATTTATTGTTACATATTAATAACACCTACTACTTTGTAATCATAAGAATACGCTGCTCAAACATAAGAAAGCACTGTTCAATAACGGGCAAAGACAAAAACAGGCAAGGCAAAACTTTTTTATCTACATATATCTTTTTTATAATTTTATTGTGTAATTTTAATGAGTCAGCGGGTTTTACAGACGTAGTGTGTACGCGGACGTGGAGGTCGCCACTTTCTCTGCGCTTCATTGACTTTGCTGGAAAGAAAGTGACGGTGGTATCGCACACACATACCTACGTATTGCACCTAATATTTGCTATTGAACTGCATGAACTTTTTATTAAGTTATGATATTAAACCATTTTTAATCCCTTCACCGAAGATTTGTAATATTAATCTAAAATTTGTCAGTTTTAAAATCTTTTAATTACCTACCTACTTAGATATGTTCCAACTCATTAATTGTAGCAATAATTACTATTGTAGGTTTATTTTAAATGGCAACAGGAATTGAGTAAATAATTCTTTGATTCCAAACGCGACGATGCAAAAAGTATATATAAGTATAAATTAATTTTATCTTGTTAGTTTTATTTCATTTTATTTCTTAAACAATTATGTTTATTAAAAAGTCAGAAATGTGACCTGAAAAATTAGTTCTATTATGATTCTTATCATATCATTTCAACTAAATTTACCATAGATATAATGATACAGATATTACACGTATTATAATTTAAATAACTCGTGTTTAAGTGGAATTAAAATGCTTATAAAGTTTTGATTATTTATGAACTCCTCAATTTACCTAATCCATGATAAAGATTTTTTTAATTAATCAACAAAACTAATAATAATACTAGCGGACCCGACAGACGTTGTCCTGTCTACACGTCTTTAATTTGAAAATTTCAAACTTTTTTTAATAATTTTTTTGATGAAAATTATTATTCAAATTGTGAATCTAAACCATTCCCAGATCCCCTTGAACACACACAAAAAATTTCATCAAAATTGGTCCAGTCGTTTAGGAGGTTCAGTCACATACACACGCACACAAGAAATATATATATTAAGATAAACAACCTTACCATATGTGATATCCATACCAATATTATAAATGTGAAAGAGTGTTTGTTTGTTTGTTTGTCTGTCTTTCTTTCACGTTGAAACGGCTTGGCGGATTGGCGTGATTTTTTGTGTGGAGATAGTTGGAATGCTGGAGAGTGACGTAGGCTTCTTTTTACAGTGGGAGATTATCTCTTTCCCACAGGAAAATACCTACCTCTTTAGAGTTTTTTTGTAGTTTTAGCGCGAGCGAAGCAGTGGGTTCTGCTAGTAAATTTAAATATATAAATAATACATACATAGTAGTAGTAAGTAATAAGAACTTAACATAATTATAATTTTTGAAATATTTAGCCAAATAAACATTTGCTAAATTGCATTGCTTGAAAAATATTTATTATTTAAAATCTTGCGTCATAATGTAAAACGAAATAAAGGACCATTCATTTAAATTTTAAACCACTTTCATCCGGCAGCTTGCCAGCTCATATACAAAATCGTTTTATCTCATCCACTTTCACTAGATTGCGCGATGTCCTGTGCGCCGAGAATTATTTCCGAAACGAATGAAACTCATTGGTCGCTTTAACATTTACTTTAAGCATAGGTACTATGTACAAAACTTTTTTTATTAAAAATATAAGATATTTTCGAAGTCGGTGTGCTTTGTACATCGGCTGGCACCGACGTCGAAAATATTTAATTAAGTAAATGAAACTACCAACCAGTTTTTTTTATTATTTTTTTTGAAGTCTGTTTTTATTTTTTTATTAAAAAGTTTTTATTTTACCCTTTTTAGTGTAGATATAGTAGTAACAAAGCAAGAAGAAAGTATTTTAATAAAATATTCGCTTAAGCCGTTTAAGTTAGTTTGATGCCAATTTTTATATGAAAACTGACAAACTCAAATTCGGTTTTATTAGTAACACAAAAAAATCTGGCTCTAAAATCCACTTCTAACGTGTTGGGTTTATCAAATCAAACCAAATAAGCCCAAACTCATAGTATCTAGGAACTATTAGCCGTTGAAGAGTTCCACCTATCCTTCCTTCTGGACCTTCTGGGCTTACCATCAGATCAGGTCAATTATACCAAACTTCTACATTATCAACGGAAATAGAAACACTTGCAAAGTTTCAAGTCAATATGACAATTAGAAGTAGGGTAAATTCAACATTAGCTATTTTTCCGCCTTAAGGGGAGGTTTTTTTTTCAAATTTTAATGAGAGCAAATTAGAAGTATACAACTTCAAATAAAAAAAAACAAAAATTGTCCAAATCGGTTAATAAATGATGAAGTTCTGAGATAAAAAACATTAAAAAAATACAGCCGGAATCCAGAACCTCCTTCTTTTTGAAGAAGGCGGTTACTAATTTTTATCATTTTCATGACTTTTTTCATTATAAGCTATCTATTAATTTTCAATTTTATTAAGAAACAGTATAAATTATTTTGTGTAATATTTTTGTGTGTTTCCGACTGACACATTAATATAAATGCGAAAATTTAAAAGTGAGTGCTTATGTTGGTTACTTCTTCACACTGTAAAGGCTCAATCAATGGATTTACGGAAAATTGTAACAATTGAAATATTGGAATAAAAAGCTTATCCTTATTATTAATAAAGGTACGTTTGTACGTAGGTAGTAAGCGAGCGTAGTCATGGACTAAAACTAGTGTTTAATAATTAAAGAAAAAAAAAATAATAAAAAATATTTTTTTTTATATAAAAATATAAAAAAACAACTTGTGCATTACCTGTGAAAATGTTTGCATTTTCGCCTCCCATTCTAGTTTAGATTTCTAAAATGGGTTCTTGAACAAAAACAGGTTTGCAATAATATCACTTGTAAGCAGGTATAAAGACACACGGTTGCGTAGACCGGATATATTTTCTAGTACCGTAAACTACGTCGCTCTACATATTAGGATATTTTTGTCACTTTAACACATCAACAAAAATTTGCTTTCTCCAATAAACATTTTAAGTGAGTTTGTGCAATAACATAATTACTGTAATATATTAAAATAATCAATTTTAAAGTAAATATATCAAAAAAGGCAAATATTTTATTTAATATGTTAACGCGCAAAACGGTACATTTAGGGTCGAAGCTGGGTAAGTGGTCTGTAAAGAGGCCAGCTCGCAGAATAACGGACAAGGCTGCAACAAGAGTTTTTCTAGACCTTTGCCTCTTTGTGCTTATCTACGAGTAAACTAAGTGATAGCAACAAAATTATTATTTAAGCAAAGTAAAATGTTATTAAATCACTATAATTTACGTATACATTCGACATGGATA